ACAAAATCACGTGATTAAAAAATCTTTACTACTATTGGAACTTTTTTGATTATATATATTAAACCAATTTTGTTTTAATATTTTTGTTTTCTTAATTAAAATAAACAAAATAATTAATAAAAATCCTCAGAATATTTAATATTTTTCAAATGACTTAAATGACAGGTCATTTGAGTTGCAAATGACAAATGACAAATGACTTGTCATTTGAGTCATTTGTTCATTTCAAGTCATTTGCCAAACACTGAATTCTGCTGAGATATAATTAGAATCAAAAGAGGCTGAACAAGTTTGAATTTTGGAATTTAAATTTTGTGACGACAAACTAAACAAATAAATTGAAAGATTCAAAATAATAGTTAGTTATGTCATTTAAAGCAAAAAAATTTTATGTTTAATACCTTTTAGTAACTGCATTAAGTGAGATATAATTAGAATCTAAAGTATATAACAAAAATCTTATGAATTATAGAATTATAGGATATTATTTAAATAATAATTATCTTTATTTTTAGTAATACCTTGTTTATTGCCATATGAAATTGTTGAAAATGAATTAATGGATGAACATTTAGAAATTAAATCACTTAATGGTCTACTTGTATAAATTGCTTCCGAGTGATATTTTTCAGCAAATTCAGGTCCAATCTTCTTCAATTCAATCAGTTTTTTTCGGTTTGCTTCAGCTTGATCAAATTCTGCTTTATTTTTACCTCTAAAAGCCCAACTACCAAAAGTATTACGAATTTCTTTTATAGGAGGTCTTTTTTTTGGATCAGGATCCCAACAACTTTTCATTAAATTAGCATAACATTCTGGTGTGTCTTCTGTAATTTCAGGTCGTTCTCCATCAAGAATTTTATAAATAAGACTATGATCATGTTTAACTTTAGCAAAAGGTTTACAACCTGTTGTAAGTTCCCACATAATCATACCCAAACTATAAACATCAGCTTCTTTAGAAAATGCTGACCCTTTAAATATTTCTGGTGCAATATAAGGTATAACTCCATAGATTTCATTATTTGATGATTTATTATTTACAGAATGTGATAATCCTAGATCTCCAATTTTCCATTGATATCTTACTTTAGTTTTCTTTTGGTCATTAAATAAATCAAATAATATATTTCCGCTATGGAAATCTCGATGTATAAATTGATGATTATGGATATGTTCAAGTCTAAATTAAGAGAAAAAATGAATAATTTAAATTTGTGAATATAATGAATACGTTTAAAATATAATTACCCTTCTGAAATTTGCCATAATATACGTAGTTTTTGATTATTCCATGTAATATTTTTAAAGCTTTTTTGTAAGTATTTATGTAAATCTCCTTCTGACGCATATTTCATAACTAATATATAATCTTCTGATTCAGGATCTCTTGTAAAACCATAAATTTTGATTATATGACCACGAAGTGATTCGTCAATACAATGTTGATATGATTCTAACTATAAAATTTAAGATTTTAATTAAAGATTAATTTTAACAAAAAAAACTATTTAATAAATATTTTAAATTATTTACCTCATTTAAGAAATATTTACTACTATTTTTAGAATTTTCAAATCTTTTTAAAATGACAGTTTCATTATTACTTAACCAAGTCGCTTTATGTATAATACCATAACCTCCTTTTGTCATTTCTTTTACATCTTCGAATTGAGAATACGGTGTCCAATTAATTTGTGATTTACTTTTTCGTGTTTTAAATAGAGTATTTAATATATCGCGTATATTAAAATTTTCACCAATACTTTTTACAATATTTACAGTGTCAGGTAACTCAAAGTCACCGTGTAAAACATTATTAAGAAGAAAATCATCAATATCGCTGTGTTCTCTACTATTTATGATAAGTGATATTCTTTTACATTTTTTACATTTAGATTCAAGTATAGGTCCAAAAATAATGTTTGTTGTTAAACAATATCTGCATCCAACATAAAATATACAACAATTTGCACAATACTTTTGACAGTCTGATGTAAATGTTAACTTTGAGCAACATGCGTTACAACTAAGATTATTATGCCACCATGGTAAGTAAAGAATCAAAATTCGCTTTTTAACCAAAGTTGATTCTATCCATTCAGAAGAAATTAGATAACAATCCGAACATAATGAAAAATCATCTAATACTTTATATGTGAGTGATAATGGCTTTCCACATAATTTACAATAACTTTCACTTTCAATCACCTTATTACGTATATCATATAGTGTGTTTTCATTAGAATAATATCCAACAAATCCAGCCATTTGTTTAAAACATAAAATTCTCACACAATTTCCACAGCATTCTTGAATATTTTGTGATACTTTTGTCCTACTTATTTCATGATCACTACATTCCAAATCCATTGTGTAAATATATACGTCCAAGTATGTATTATTATTATCAGGTATATCATTAATATAACGCGATAAACATTTTTTGCAATATTTTTGCCTATGACAAAGAACTGCCTTAATATATTCTTCTCCACAATTAAAACACTTTCTATCATCTTCATTAAAAGAAAGAAATTTAATTGGTATAGGACTAGATTTTAATCTTGGCGTCGGGTCAAATGAATTTTCATCATTTGTATTCACCAATTCCATTTTATTATGTTAATTATTAGTATGTTATAAACAAATATCAATAATGATAATGAATATGAAAAAATTTGAACGTAATTTATTTATATCTGAATGATTACTAATAAGAGTTTGATAAAGATGGAACTTTCTGGTAGTAATACGAAAGTATTTCTATATTTCCCCATGGAATTTTTAAATAACGGAAAAGTCCGTTATAAATTTAGAAGTTCTTTATCGAAGAGCTAATGCATAACAATATATAACTAAAAGATCGGCTTTGTTATTTTTTACTTATTTAGTTGAGACGCATATGATCAACTAAAGAAAGTATTTTTTAAGTGTGGGCGTAATTACTAAACATTCCGTCGTAGAAAATAATGAAGAAAGCAAAGGAAACAGAAATGAAACACAGACTAAGAAAGGAAACAAATAAAAAGCGATGGAAACAAATATTTGAACAACAATAACGAACAATTATTTCTCATTCTTTCACTTGTTACACAATCACCTGATTGCTACTCTGATCACATGATTGTTGCGGTTTCACATGATTATGCCACGTTATTTTATAATGTCGTCAAAATTAAATATTTTACAATAAAGTTTTACTAAAAACTGTAAGAAGTTTGTTTAGAAAAAGCCAGATAAAAAGTGAATTTTTAATATATGGTGATATATATAATTCGCCCGTGTATATTTTTAAAAACTGGTAACATTGAAAATTCTCAAATAATGCAGGAGTTGGAATTGTTATACAACACCATAATCTGTTAACAAAAATACATGAATGTAGTCTAAAAGTTCATAATAATGTAAATTACAGACATACTGTATCTTCTAAAAATACTTTTGAAAAGGTATACTGTACGGTTTGAAATATCTACAGTTGATGACCTTTGATTATGTCCTTTTTTTATTCATATATATTGTTCTATTTTAGTTAAAAAATACCTTATTATTTATTATTGTGTCTACAGTCTGACTACAGAACCCCAAAAAAATTTACTGCGTAAAAATGAGGAGAGCGATAAATAATTTTTTCTTTATGTAAATTTTTGTGATTAAACCAGATGTTTTGCGGTTAACTACATTATGAAAAGTCAAATTAAAAAACATATCATTTAAAAAAGGGTATAACCAGTGAAGCTTTTTTTATAATTTTTTTTAGTGTTGTCTACATGGACATGTTTGTAATATGCCTCCCTGTGGCGTAGCACTATTCAAAAAAATCAAATTAAAATTTTCTTTAAAAAAAAAGTTTTAAAATTATATATATTAGACTATTGATACTTTCATCAGACACTGAAAGTATATACGTAATGGTTGTGGGTTGTGATATTAGCAATCATATTTTGAAATTATTTGTTTAAATGAGTCCTTTTAAAAAAATTTAAATGAACAAATGGTAAAAAGTAAATGAATCACTTTTATATGTTAGGGTTTTTTTGCCAATAAAACAAATGTGACTTATTTATTTAAAAAAATTACGATTTTATTAAAGAAAAATGTAATTTCATTGAAAAATTACAAAAGATATCAGGCCATTAGCACGTGATTCTATTTCCCTTATTATTCATTAATTATGTCGTAATCTCGTACATTCGATAAATTAAGAATTGAATTGGATTGAAATTTATATTATATATATTTATTAAAAAATAGCCCTTGTTGCTAACTAAATTAAGACCTACTTCCTTTCTTTTTAGAATATTATATCATCAATATAATGTAATATCGTAGTAGCCAATCACAAAGACAATAACTATAAAATTACTTATTATTTTTTTTTTCATGTATTTAAGAATTATTGTTAAATTTTAGTTGTAACCTTAAACAAATAAGGATGGTCAATAAAGTGTTTAGAATTTCATAATAAAAATTTTTAATAGTAGTTTATGCAAGTAATATTTTTAATAGAATGCTTGCATCTTAATTTTATTGTAACTTTAAACAAGAGGTTCCTAGTAATACTAGTTCACTGTATTTACCAGTTTTCACAATTTCAGTAGATTAAGGTTCATAAAATTTAAAATTATTAATATATAATATTAATTATTCATTAAAGAATAATATTAACATTAACATCTCATTAATTAATAAAAAAATTTTTTTTTTTTAATAACTCATTATAAAATGAATGAGCGAGTGGCGAAAAAAAAATCCAAGCAATACTGCATGGTTTGGTGATCCTGACGCAAATTCACATGACTGCAATAAAAGTGTGTATGGCAATAAAATGATTATATAGATATTAGCGTTGAACTACGTTTATTTACTACTATGAACAGTGTCTATCCCTTAAAATTGTTTTTCAAGTAGTATTATTAACTTCGAAATGATTTCAATGCATTTCATCTTTCTCGCCAATTTACGAACTCAATTTACTTTAAGCAGAAAATTTCCATCTCCTTTTTTGGGAATTATTTCTAGTCAATATTTTTTATAATATTGCTGATCAGAACTTTATTTCTGCATTAAGACTATTTCAATTACGATTAGGGATGCCAACGGTCGGTTCGGTTCGGTTTCGGTTTTAAAACTGCGGTTTTCAGCTGAAACCGAACCGACCGCAAAACCGACCGATAAAACCGAATTGCAAAACCGATCGCAAAACTACTGCAAATTGAATGAACTAATGTTAGAAAGTATTAATTATAATTTTATTTGATAATATTTCTTAAAGTTATAATTTTTTTTACGATAGTAATGTCAATTTTGCGATTTTTTTCAGCGGAACGAAAAATCACGTGATCGACGCGTAAAATATAAATTTTCTTATTATTTCAAAAACAAGAATACTATATATATATATACAACTAAATCATAATTTTTAATAGTATTCTCAATAAAATTAATAAAACAAACATTTTTTTCTTTTGAAATATATGATTAACTGATCGGTTTTTTTGTCAGTTTTTTTTATATATAAAACCGACGGTTAACCGGTCGGTCTTGGACTGAAACCGAACCATAACCGAACCGGTAAAAACCGGTTATAATCGGTTATAACCGAAACTTTTGGCATCCCTAATTACGATACCTTGATTTAAATCTGTTAATGGTCTCGTACTTTTATGTCATTACGGAGGAAGAGAGGAAAGAAGACTACAAACCATTGAATATAGACGTTGAAGTTACTGGTTATCCATAAAGTAATTAACTGGATAAAAAAATTTTTTTTTTCACATATTTAATTATTTGGAAATCATTATATTAAAAAATGACATCAGTTATTAAAAACTTCGATTTTTGGGAACACACGTCACACGTGACCGCATCAGCTGCATAGAACGATCTGACCGTTCTTTATGATCTTTTGTTAAACACTGTATTTTTTTTTTTTGACCATATACTTTTATTTTAAGTTCTAGCTTGTACACTAAAACACTTCTATATAAACTGATGACATAATAAAGGTATTAACAATTCTCCAATTATATGGCACCAAAAATTGATATAGCTTTTTGAAATAATTTTAATTAATTAAAGATTGTTATATTCGCTTAAATGGTTATAACGAGTATGGAAAAAATATGAAAAATATGGATCGATTTATCTTATAAAGGGAGTAACAATTGTAATGTTTAATTCTTAATATATGTTTGTTTGTTATCATTTTTTGTAGCTATTAATTTATTTAAATAGAATATGTTTTATAACGAATGCGCTAACTGTAACAAAAAATTAGTGAATATATAAAAATTTTGAAATACAAGTAAGACCTCAATATAATCACCCCCTGCATAAGAATTCTTCTTTATAAGCACTTATTTTTACTAATCTACATATCAATAATTTATACCTTCATATACTCGTCATCCATTCAAAATCCAATCCCATCCCAAATCACGCACTAAAACCCATTTAAGTATATAAATAATATAATAATATTATTTGCTTATTTATTTTTGAATTAACTATATGATTTTAGTGATATTATTTTAACGTTCACCAAAAGCATAATTTCGGCATCGTTTTGTGAATTTTACTTATTGGAAATTTGTGCAGCATCACATGAACTCGATTCGGTTGTCACCTGTCATAAAATTGTTTCACGCAATGATATATCTACGATTGTGACGCATTTTTTAATAGAATTACAATTTACGTATACTTAAAATTTAATAAAACTAAACAATATATTTCCATTAACTATAATGAGTTCCATACTTCATTTGGAATTTTCCGTAGTAATTGAATCATAAAATGACACTGTGAGTAATCTATTAATTAAAATGCAAATACTTATGAACACTCCATTACTTAAAGAGGTGAAGTTGAAGGAGAACAAAATTGTTGTCAAATGACGCGCCTTATTCAGCTTGTTTTATTGTTGCAGTAATTTATGATAGTTTTCTTTAAGACTCACCCTTGGCTTTAGAAATATCAGGCATCATTTTTCTTATGGTTTATTTTCTTTATTAATTCATTTTATAGCGTTAGCTTCAATGCAGAGGTTTTATACTTGCTACTAGCTGATTGATTATTGGTAAATTTTAATATTAAGTCACATCTTCAGCACTAGTAAAAATCTTTTTTTTTTTTTGCTTTATACTAATAAATGCTAATATTTTTTTATTCCATTATTTGATTCGAAATGATTAGCAAACTTAGACAATTATGTTTTGGTTCAGATAATCTCAAGATCATAATTTTACGAGTATAATCGAAAGCGAAAATATCAATAGAGAATTTTTATAATATAATTATGATTACTTAGAACAATTACGCTAGGAAATCAATGTTCAAATTATGGTTAAAAATGTGAGCGTTCTCATATGGTTCTAATTATTTATTAAAAACAATAATTTATAAATTGAAAATTTTTCTCTGGTCATCTATTCTGGTGAGATGATTATTTCCATTCTTATTATTTTAATCCTTAGAGATAAAAAAAAATAATTATTATTAATAATTAAGAAATTTAATTAGTTAGGTTACTATAAAGGCTTAAGCATCAATGACTAATCATTAATTTAATCGTTTAATATATAAAGTTGTTATTTATATATAAATAACGATATAAAAAAATTTTTTCAAAAAAAATGAACGATTGCCATGTTTACGCATATTTGTAATAAAAGTATAATTTATTTGTTTACGTCGGTTGTAGATCTCGGTATAAATTATATGGATAAAAAAAATGAAACACTTCTTTTTTGTTAAAAAAAAAATAGGAAATCTTACAATTATTTTTATTGGTGGAATAAATTTTTAATCAATTTTCTAATTAATACTTTTTATAATTGTAAAGAATAAGCCCGGCTAGCTCAATCGGTAGAGCGTGAGACTCTTAATCTCAAGGTTGTGGGTTCGACCCCCACGTTGGGCGAATAAATCTTTCCATTGAAAAATATTAAGTTTTTTTTTTTTTAAATACCTCTCGAGCTTGTCGATTTATCACATGATTAAATACATGTGATCAATTAAAAAAGTGATCATCGAATCAGACGAATCAATTGGTTAAACAATAGTAAAAACATAAAATATTTTAATTGGCTGTGCAGGTTATAATCAAATTGCGACTTACCATTTTTTAAGCTAAAAGTAACAAAAAGAAATCATCAATTGATTTTCATTATACTCAATATCTATCAGATATAAGGTTAAAGGTTTGTTTTTTTTCTAACCAAAAAAAAAAAAAAAAATTTCCTATATAATAAAAAACGATGGAAATGTTTATTTGTTAATCCAAATTAACCATAAATTTATCGATTATAATGATTGCTGTATTAAAGTTAGCTAGTTTATTATAATTCTTTATGTTAATAATTTATATTAATTTCTTCATACAGACGATTTTTGAAAAATTCTATTAACGGCCTAGTATATTGAATTCCATCGGTAAATTTAGAATACTTATCTGTCGCATGATCGACATCAATTCAGTTCCACAAAAGAGTGTAATAAAACTGCGGTTTGGTTTCACATTTGTATAATTGATCAACTATAAATAATCAGCCACCTACTCCGAAAAAAGGATTTATTTACCCTTTTTGACGTAATTAAAAATAAACTCTTTCCCACTCCTTCTTCACTAACATGGCATGCTCGAAATTATTTTCAGGATATTTACCTGAATTAATAGATGAAATTATACAGTATTTTAGGAATGATATTTCAACATTGCATTCATGTATTTTAGTCAACAGATTATGGTGTCGTTCAGCGATTTCATTATTATGGGAAGATCCATTTTCATTAATTCACGTCCAAAATTTTCGATTTGTTGAAATTTACTTACGTAATTTAAATGAAGATGATAAAGCAAAATTAAATGAATATGGAATTAATAATAATTTGTTACTACTTTCGAGTACATTATTCAATTATCCTAGTTTTATTAAACGTTTAAATACACATAAAGTTGGTCATTCCATTGAAAATTGGCTCTCAACTTTAATGGATAATAATTATGATAAACGTAGGAAGGCGGCAAAATTAGTATATAGATTATTATTTAAAATGTTTATTGAAAACGAAGGAAGTTTATATTCTTTTGAAGTTAAAATGCATACAATTAGTGATTATAAATATTTTAATGATACTATGGAATTAACTTTACAAAATCCAAATTTTACTTGCAATATTAGAAATTTAATATTTTATATATTTATTATGTACGGTTGTAGAAATCTCTTCCCTTCTACAAATATCCTTCCTTTTCTCAAATTTTTACATTCTAATTGTAATTCAATCACATCATTTTATTTTGGAATTTTTAAATTTGAAGCAGGTAATTTCTCTTCAATTGGAAACTGTTTATCACAAATGATTATTACACAACAGAATCTCAAAAAAATTTCATTTGAATGTAACGACTTCTTCTATAATTCATTTTCTTTATTAAAAAATTCCAATATTTCAAATACTTTGAAAATAATTACATTCTATTCAATTGATTTTAATATTATAATTTCTAATTTTAAAGAAATATTTAACCAATTTAATGTTTTAGAATCTATTCATATTATTTATTGTAAATCTTTAAATTCTCAATTTGTTCAACAAATGGTTAGTGTTATCATACCATTTAAATTGAAAACTTTAATCATAAGTGAAATATTACAAGTTGAATCATTACAATTATTATTACAAAGATTTGGTAATGATTTAGAAAATTTTGGATTTAATAGCTGTGATTATGATTTTAGTAATAAAGAATTGATACAAAATAATATTAATCTAACACTTAGTTTAATTGAAAATATTAAACAAAATCTTAATTATCTTAGTATTGAAATTGATTTTTTTGTACATTCTTTAAATTATAATACAATTTGTTCAATTGTATTACAAAATTTAGGACAAATTCTTCCCTCTAAATTAGAATTTTTAAGATTAGGTCTTAAAATTGGTCAAAATGATTTGAAAATATTTTTAGAAAATTCTAAAAATACTTTTATAAATAGATTATTTATTAGAAATATGTATTATGATATAAATGAAGATATTTTATCTTGTATAAAAGAATTTATTATGAAAAAGAAAAGGGTTAAATATTTAGCTATTTATAATATTTATCAAGATTTGATTGATTTGAAGGGTGAAGTAAATGAATTTAAATTATATGATATTATAATTCAAAGATATGAAGATTTTTTTATTCAAACTTATGATATTGTAAACAGTTATTTGTAATAAGTTGAATAAAATAAAACAATTTTTAACTATAGTTTATATATATGAGTACAAGTAAATTAATCTGTGACATGATAACTATCATTATATAATTGATTGACTATAAAACCTTACATTGATTGTCACAGGACCCCGAGCAATATATGTATAGGTAACAATATCGTTTGCTTAGTCACATGCTATTTTAGCCACAGTTAGAGGTTAGATTTGCGTAAAATTAATGATATTTTTTGCCAATGTCATATTTTTCATTTGCTTATTTTCACAGAATTTTTGAAAAGTCATATATTATAATTGCTTATTTATTGAGTAAATTTAGTATTATTTAATAATGCATTGTATAACATTTAACTATATAAGCGATGGTATTATGCTAATATGCAAAAGTTAATAGGAGATGAAAAAAATTACTAAGATGGATATTTTAGCTAAGATGATATTACTATTGAAAAAAGTGAAATTGTAAATCATAAATGCGAGAAAATTTGATCAAATAATTTTTGTAAAATATAATATTATAAAGTCATATGGTTAGATTGCTTATTTTTGGGCAATTTGTGAAGTCACATGTTGAGTTTGCTTATTTATCTTAATAAAAACCTTGCGTAGAGCTATTATAAAAATTTTGACCTTTCTTGTTACCTATATATATATTGCTCGGGGTCCTATTGTCACCTCTTTCCTTAATAGCATAACATGCATGAAACTGTTTTCAGAAGACTTACCTAAATTAAACAAATGAGATAATACAGTATTTTCGAAGATTTTCCAATATCGTATTCATGTAATTTATCCATTTTTTACTTTGTTATGTATGATTCAATAAAAGTTTTGATTTTTAAAATTGAAAAAGTGTCCTTGCCTAAAAAATCATTTTTTTTAAGCACATGAAGAACTTTCCTATGATCATATCATGAATTTTGTAACTGGAAATCTTGTTGGATTAGGTTCTTGGAAATAAATAAATAAAAATATTAATTAAAAGGCCACATTATTAAAGATATCTGGAAAATGAAAAATGTCTGAAAAATTGCAATATTCCGGACACTTTCTGGATACCACGCCTCTCCTAGACATTTGCTGGACATTTTCCGGAAATTCATAATATCTCCGGAATATTGGAATTTTATGGACATTTTCGATGACGTTCTTTTTTTATAGAGCCAAAGTTGAAATTTTTTTTACTATTCATTTTATCTTAGTTAAAACATATATTATAGAAAGTGTCGCATACTAATTAAAATTAATTTTAAATTTATACTTTCTAAACAAAAATTTTGATAGTTGATTGATATGGTTTAATATTTCATAATTAATCATTATTATTACATATTACATAAAAATACCTTTTAATTACAGATATAATCAAACTGTGACTTATCATTTTCTAAACTAAAAGTAATAATAAAATAATTATCATTTGATTTTCTTTATTTTCAATCTAATCAGATTTAAGGTTAATGTTAAAGGGTTATTTTTTTTTCTTACCCAAAAAAAAATAATTTTACGAATTTATTGGTTATTATGATTTGTTGTACATTTAAAACTATTTCAAAATAAAGACCGCAAATCTTTATGTTAAATATAAAAAATTTTTTAGAAAAATGATCACGTGTCTGAGTTTCGGCGGAATAAAAACCAGAAAAATGATCATTTATCGGAGTGGAACTTTTTTTATAGATTTTATATAGACAATTTTGGAAAATCTAATTTCATTGTAGTTTATCCGTCTCATGGTCGACATCAACTTAGTCATGAGTTGCGGTTTGGTTTCACATTTGTACTTTGATCAACTAACTATAAATAGTCAACAAATTGTATAAAAATGGGAGTTAACCTACTCCGAAAAAAAGGATTTATTTACTTCCATTTTTCTTCGCTAACATGGCATGCTCAAAATTATTTTCAGGATATTTTCCTGAATTAATAAATGAAATTTTACACTATTTTAGGGGATGATATTTCAACATTGCATTCATGTACTTTAGTCAACAGATTATGGTGTCGTTCGGCGATTTCATTATTATGGGAAGATCCATTTTCATTTAACCACGTCCAAAATTTTCAATATTTTGAAATTTACTTACATTATTTAAATGAAGATGATAAAGCGAAATTAAATGAATATGGAATTAATAATAATTTGTTACTTTCGAGTACATTATTCAATTATCCTAGTTTTATTAAACGTTTAAATACACATAAAGTTAGTTCTTCTATTGAAATTTGGCTCTCAAGAACTTTAATGGCTGAAAATTATGATAACTGTCAGGAGGCGGAAAAAGTAGTTTATAGATTATTACTTAAAATGTTTATTGAAAATGAAGGAAGTTTAGATTCTTTTGAAATTAAAGTGACTTCTAAAAATAATTATAGTTACTTTAATGATACTATGGAATTTGCTTTGCAAAATCCAAATTTTATTTGCAATGTTAGAAATTTAATGATAAATATATCTGCTAGATGTATCAAGCTTCCTAAAAAGACCTTTCCTTTTCTCAAATTTTTACATTCTAATTGTAATTCAATCTCATCATTTTCTTATAAAATTTTTGAATTTGATGTGGATAATAATCGCACCTTAATTGGAAAATGTTTATCACAAATGATTTTTACACAACAGAATCTCAAAAAAATTTTATTTGAATGCAACAACTTCTTCTACAATTCATTTTCTTTATTAAAAAATTCCAATATTTCAAATACCTTGAAAATAATTACATTCTATTCAATTGATTTTAAAATTATAATTACCAATTTTCAAGAAATATTCAATCAATTGAATGTTTTAGAATCTATTCATATTATTTATTGCGATTCTCTAAATTCTGAAATTGCTCAACAAATTATTAATGTTACCAAGCCATTTAGATTGAAAACTTTGATCATGGATCAAGATACATTACAAGTAGAATCATTACAATTATTATTACAAAAGTTTGGTAGTGATTTAGAAAATTTTAAATTTGGATATTATGAAAGTTATACACCAGAACAAAAAAATCAATTGTTAAAATCAATTGTAAAATATTGTACGAAAATTAAATATTTTGATATAGATAAAACCGATGATATAAGTATTAATCTAGTATTTAACTTAATTGAAAATATTAAACAAAGTCTTAATTATTTTATTATTGAATATAAAAATTTTCGTTATTCTGTTAGTTATAGAGATCTTTGTTCAACAATATTAAATAATTTAGGACAAGTTCTTCCTTCTGAATTAGAATTTTTAAAATTATGTTTTGATATTGAACCAAGCAATTTAAAGATATTTTTAGAAAATTCTCAAAATACTTTTATTAGAAGATTATTTATTAGAAATGTTTGTAAAGAGAAAGGTGAAGATATTTTGCCTTATATAAAAGAATATATTATGAAAAAGAAAAGGGTTAAGTATTTAGCTATTTATGGTTATCAAGATTTGATTTCTTTAAAAGATGAGGTAAATGAATTTAAATTACATAATATTAAAATTGAAAGTTATTATAATTCTTATGATCTTGTAGAAAATTTTAGATATTACTATAAAATTGATAATGATTTTTAGTACATTTTTTACTTTATAATGTATTTTTGGATATTTGATTCGTATATTAATAGCATGATTCAATAAAAGTTTGATTTTTTGAAATTGCTAAGTGTCCTTGTTCACTAAATCTTTTTTTTAAGTACATGAATAACTTTTCATATTGTGAGTTTATAACTGGAAATCTTGTTGAATTGGAAGTAAATAAATCAAAAATATTAATTAAAAAGTTAAAGTTAGAATTTTTTATTATTCATTTTATTTTAGCTAAATATATAATTTTAAAGAAGACAACATATTATTTATATACTAATTAAATTAGAGAATGCACCAGTGGTGGTTATCACCACTGGTGATTTTCATTAGTCCAATTTTTTTAGATTAATTTTAAATAATCAACTACACATATTAAACAGTTATCCATATGTAAATTTACAAGAAGAGGTCAAAAAGCCTGTTTTTCAGATAATTTCACTTTACCATAACAAAAAATTTTTAAATTTCGTTATGGTTAATATCAAATCAATATTTGTTAGCATATTTATTATTTAAGTTAAAATTTTGCGATCAGTATTTTTTTAACTCTGATGGCCAAAATTATAAACCGGCATTTTATAACTCTGGCCAAATTGTAATTTTTGGCCGGAATTAAGTGACAATCATAACTAGTGGTGAGATTAGGGATGGCAACGGTCGGTCATGGTCGGTCATCGGTCGGTCATAACTGGTCAAGAACCTTTGACCGACCGACCGACCGTTGACCAACCGGTCTAACCGACCGGTTAACCGATCCTGAAAACGTTTGCGAAACGTAATTTAATTGAAATACTTAATAAAAAATGTTTTCGCAACGTTTTCTATTAAAATAATTAAAAAAATGTTTGCGAAACATTTTTTTTATTAAATTACGTTTCGCAAACGTTTTCAGGATCGGTCAAACGGTCAGTCAAACGGTCGGTTAACCGGTCGGTCAGACCGGTCGGTCAAACGGTCGGTCAGAGGTCTTTGACCGACCGATATCAGTCACGGTCATGACCGGTCATAACCAGTTAATGACCGTGACCGTTGCCATCCCTAGGTGAGATTTAGCAATACCCTTAAAATTAATTTTAAATTCACAATGTTTTTTATAAAATTTGAGAAATTTGGGTTTAAAAAGAGTTTATTATCAGAATTATATGGTTTGATATTTTTGTAAATTGAATAGTTAAGTCAAAACTCAAAACACTATATTATATATTTATAAACAAAAAATATTTTTTGATTGGCTGTTGCAGGTATAATCAAACTGCAATTTATTATTTTCAAGCTAAAGTAATCATCATTTATTCTCAGATTTAAGGTTATTAACCAAAAAATAGATGAAATGATTATTTGTTAATCCAGGCTAGTACTTGGAAATGTCACAAAAAAAGAAGGCAAATTTTTTCCATCATATATGATAACAGGTTAGTCACTTGAATATTAAAATTATTTTGAAATGTTGAGTTTATACAAGTAAAAAATTAATAGATTATCATGGTGTTCTATCTATATACATACTATATTATATACTTAAAGAGAACATTGTACCACAAAATTTTTTTTACCAACCTTAGTTATTAAAATTAAAGCAATTATTTCTAAATAAAGTTAACTAGCTTACCACAATTCTTTATATTAATGAATCATTTTAAATAGACGATGTTTGGAAATTCTACTAACATAACGTTGGCAAATGACTTGAAATGTCACTGAAATGATTCAAATGACAAATGATTATGAATAATGACAAATTATTAGGCAAATACTTTCAAATGACCTCATTTCTGAACACTAGAACGGACTAGTCTAATTAATATATCACGTGCAGTGATTGACATCAACTTAGTTTCACAAAATGAGAACTACTCCGGAGGGCTAAATTTTCGCCTCTACTTCCATCGATTCTGGCTAGTGAACCGGGTCCGATTGTTCAACATCTAGAATTTTTTGATTTTAATGATTTGCAATCATTCTAATGGGAACCTGAAGCGAAAATTAGTATAGCTACTGGAGGGCTACTCCAGTAACACCCAAAAAAGTTCTGCAATATCACATCACGTGAGATCAGATGTGTCATTATTTTATCTAATAGAATATAAAATACAAATAAAATTTTTAATGTTATTAATAAGTTTTTTTTTATAATAATAATAATAATGTTTAATAATAATTTTACAAAATGAAAAAAAAAACTGAGAAATCGCGAAAACTATTATTTTTTTGTTTCCTTTATTTTTAAAAGGTTTCTTAAAAATTTTCGCGATGATTTCATATTCTAATTGTAATTCAATCTCATCATTTTATTTTAGAATTTTTGAATTTAAAGCGGATAATTTCTCCTTAATTGGAAAATGCTCATCACAAATGACTATTTCACAACAGAATCTCAAAAAACTTTCGTTTGAATGCAATACCTTTTTATACAATTTATTTTCTTCATTAAAAAATTACAATATTATATTGAAAATAATTACATTCTATTCAACTGATTTTAATATTATAATTACCAATTTTCAAGAAATATTCTCAATTGAGTGTTTTAGAATCTATTCATATTATTTATTGCGATTCTCTAAATTCTGAAATTGTTCAACAAATTATTGATGTTACCAAGCCATTTAGATTGAAAATTTTGATCACGGGTGATATATTACAAGTTGAACCAATTACGATTTATATTATTACAAAAATTTGGTAATGATTTAGAAAATTTTGGATTTGGATATGCAAAAATTATACACCAGTGCAAAAAAATTATTTGTTAAAATCAATGTACGAAAATGGTTTAGGTGAACCTGATAACGATAATATTAGTATTAATCTAGCATTTAATCTATAAATTGAAAATATTAAACAAAACTTATTATTGAATATAATTTTTATGATTATTCTATTTAGTTATAGAGAGATTTGTACAATAATATTAAATAATTTAGGACAAATTCTTCCTTCTAAATTAAAATATTTATAATTATGTCTTGATATTAAACAAATGATTTGAAGATATTTTTAGAAAATTCTCAAAATAATTTTATTAAAAGATTATTTATTAGAAATATAATTCGAGAGAAAGATGAAGATATTTTACCTTATATTATAGAATATACAGTTATATTCCTTATTGAAACGACCGCACATTATTATGGCTGCTATGATGCATCCAAACCTTTCGTTTTTTGTTAATCGCAAATGATTTTTTATGATGGCGCAACAATTACTGTATAGTATACGAATTTTGATTATAGGAACTTGTCACATAATTTATCACACAATTTGCTGTTTTCAAAAATTTATTATTTATAAAAGTCAAAAACAGTATTCTAAACCCTTTTTGATATACTAAGTAAAATTGTGTTACAATAGGTACATAAAGGCTTGTGTCAAAAATGAAAAAATCAAAAAAAAAAAAAAAAAAAAAAAAAAAAAAAAAAATAATTAGAAAATTTGGCGAAGATCGAAGGGGATATATCGCATATGCGAAAAAAATATTAAATCCTTATTTTATATAGATATATTTATATCGAAATTATGATATAAATAGTAATAGCCTAGTTGATATTATTGTCGCAGCAAGATTACCAAAAGTTCGAAGTCGCAGTAACTGGTTGATCATTTTGTATTAAATTACCTCATTAATTTATATATAGAATTAGTTAGTTTTTTATTTTATTGTGTTTTTATTATATTGTTTTATTAGATAGTTTTTTGATTACATTAAATTTTATTGTCTAGTTTATTTTTTTATTGCATTATTTTAGTTAGAATTTATAGACTTATTTTACAATTAAGGCAGATGATCATAATTATGTAAGCTAAATAAATTAACCCCTAGACAAGTCGTCCGTGGGACGAATTTACCAGTGTACGCCCATTGGGGTTTTCATTATAAATGTCCTTCAGGGAAAACAGTAGTTTTGCATAGTTTCTAAATAGTCTTTTTGTACAAATTTTTATTTCGAGAAAAATTTGATAGAGTAATTTTTTTGTGCTTGTTAATTATTTCCTCATTGTAGACGAATTACAACCAATTCACATTAAGCATAGGGTGATAACAATACAAACCACGTGCGATGACACATGACGTTAAATTTGTCTATATGGAATATAGTAATCAAACGAAAATATGAAAAATAAAATTACAATAGATAAAAACGGCGGGCGACAGTGGGCGTGTCACATTATTTAGTTTAGTTTAATAATATGATCATTCCATAATATATACATTTTATTTTAATAAATACATATGATATTACAAAAAAAGAATTTTATAAAAAAATGGTGTTGCAATAAATTATTCTATGCACTTCCCAAAAGATAAAATTTATCTATGATACTTTATGTATATTTTATTATAATTATACGTCAGGTGTCTTAACCGCATGTTCGTAGAAATCCATATCGACATAGTATTTTGCAAGCAGATTTCTTAGCTCAGCAGATTGATTGGAGAGACCATCCGTTTCGGTAGTATTATCTTCTTCCCCTTTTTCCAAGTTACTTAATTTTGAACTCCTTTCATTTTTCATTCTATCTAATTCCTTACGAAGTTTCTCCCTATCCTGATTTATGAATATAAAGCCCGACACAAACCCGAACGGGTTTGCCTTTCTAACACCAAAGAGAAAGCCGAAAATTGCCCAGACGGAAAGGTAACCACCGACATTACTTAAAAGGTCAGCTAGTGTGAGGGGTGGCTTTTCAACCTGTGTTATTACGGTTGTCGGTGCGATGAGTCCAATCCATATTGTTGGCTGCATAGAGTTATCATCTACAGAAACTCCCTCAAATTCAAAATTTCCTATAGAGTTGATTTGGAAACCTCGATAGGTAATTCCATTTATTCCATTTAAAGCTTTATGCCAAGTTTCTGTATATTGGAAAATACCACTACTACTGGCAAGTAGAAACCCTACATCACTAAATTTGTTCCCTTGAGGCATAGGTAAGCTCCAGTCCATCTCATTGTTGGTGTCACCAATGTAAATACTAATTATGCTGGCATTGCCACTCATACCATTTAAGACCTTTTTTAATATTTTCGTAAAACCAAGGAGATAGAATCCTCCAGGATTATCTATTGTCATTAAGGACGATGTACTATTAAAGAAAGTGCAACTACTATCACTTTCTCTTTGAAAAAGTTTAAAATCACCGCTTAAATCAAGGTTTTGCTTAGGATTATTAACAAAAGAATTAAAACTGTCATAATATCTGACCGTAATAAATGTCATATCATCGGATTTGCAAACAAGCATAGATGGAGGTTCTTTGCTCCTTTCTACCGTCACCAATAACTTTGGTGGATCATTTTTCATTTTGTAAACATTGTATGAGATGACTCCTAACAAACCGGCAGCCAAGAGCAAGAAAACGGTCGTCTTGAGTATCCTTGTGGGAATGCTTTGAGTATTGTTATACTGCCAATACTTTTGACGGAGGTGAGGAAATTGAAAAATTCGTACAATGAATGTGAAAATTATAATGATCCCAAAAATCATGGTTGCTGCGATGGCGAATAAGCCGGGTAGGCGATTAAGGGTCTCATACAACTTATAATCCATTTTGTAAACTTTATACTGTATTATAAATTTGTAGATCTTTATATTTTTGGATTTTTTTTTGAAAAAAAAAAAAAAAAAAAAAAAAAAAATGAAATAGCGAAAATATTTCTTTTTAATATACACCTATTTACTATGATATGATTTTTTCTATGTTCATAACGTTTTTATTAAAAAAAAAAAGTAGATTATAGGTTAAACAATAAATTATTTAACGACTTTATATATTGTGAGAAAAGTCCCTTAAAGAATCTAAAATAGTTTACTTAATTTAGTTAATTTTGTCAATCCATGATATTGATTTGTTATTTTGTTTGCCGTTTTCGAAATAGTTGAAATTGATGTCGATCATGTAAAAATCGCAGTAAATCCTAAAAATAGTAAAACTATTTTTATCACAGGATGGATTTACCTGCTCCGGGATTAACTGCTTCAAAAAATTCTTACCATTTAAAAAATAGTTAAAGCCATGAATGATCGCAATCACGTGAATTAACCAATATTATTCTCGGTTATTTATTAAGTAATCCGGTTATGGAATAACAAACGGGTAAAATGGGTAGTATCGTTTTGATGCATTATATTTTATTTAATTGTAAAAAATTTCTATAATTTTTTTATTGAAATAAAGATCTAAATACAGAATATTACAAAATAGCATGAGTGAGAACATGATAAATTTATTAACATAAATTTATTTAATACAAAAACGAATATTGAATTCATTTTAACAATGATTCAACTAAAATATTCCACTCTTTGTTTGTTAGCAACAAACCACTTTTACACAAAGGGTTAGGATCAGAAAATCTAATGAACCCAAATGTATTTTATCTTTTGTCTTTTTATCAGCTTTTTCTATTTCCTTGAATAATATTCCTTATATTCATCGTCGTAGTCTTGTTGAGCAAGAAAATTTTAGATAATTCAAGTAATTTCAAGTTTCAATAGAAACTATAATATTCGATAGTCCTTCTTTAATTACTATTATCCTCGTCGAACCCAACAATGCTATCAATACATTTATTCGATTTTTTCAACGTCGTCGCTTTCACGAGATTCTCATGCATCTTTTCTTTATTCTTCACCAAACAATTAAAATCATTTTCAGACTTAATTAAAAGCGTTTTACTTCTAATAAGAACAATTTCATTATCTTTTATTTTATTTGATAATAAAAAGTATAAATTAAAAATGTATTAAATGTATTAGTAAATTTTTTTTATATAGTATATAACTTTCTCAAATTATTAACTATATTTTACATTCGGATAAATCTGCAAATAATTTTAAATAATCATATAAATAATATAATAGACATAATAGATATATATAAAGATTATAAACAATAAAAATATAATAAGTAAAAATATTAATTATGTTACATTAATATATAGTTAAAAACTTGCAAGAAAAATTAAATAAATAAATAAAATAAAAAGGCATATTTAATACCTTTGGTCCTGCCCATTCAGTACGTAAAGTACGTAAAGAAAGAATAAGTTTATACGTTAACAAATGATTGGAAAAATCACGTGAAATTCAACCATGGCGTAATTTATATTCCTATGTCATCATCCATTTAGAATTAACTACAAATGGCTGAAACCTTCATGCTGTGGCGCAGCAAGATAAAGAAACCTTCTAATAGACACCACTGCTACAACGTTTAACACCTTCACAAGAACGATATTCGACACTCCATACCTACCATTGTATATGTACGGATAGAAGTTTCAACCTTCTATAAAGAATTACTTGACCAACGAAGTTGGAATAAGGTTTCGCCCCGCCACGCTGGTTCTATGATACTCTTATTTTCCTAGGAACACCCTTGCCCAACCACACTTTTATAATCATACACTTTTATTACGTCTTTTTCCCCTAACCTATTACCTTCCCCCCGGGGGGAAAAAATTCCTTATTTCCGCAGCAAAATTTCACGTGCTCAAACCTGACTGATAGACTGAGGCTACAAGATCTACAAATTTTAAAAGAAGCAAATGTTACTTCCTCGAGTTAGCTGATCAACAGACGAACACCAATGAAATTCACCTTAAAATAAACATGAACGAACTATCATCATATGAACACCACAAGCAAACATATCAATCACAATTACCAAACGAGTAAATTTCTCACGCATTTTTTTCCTTACAAAAAGTTCCACCACGACAAGAAACTTTCCCGTTAATTAGAAAAAATTACTAGAACGAATCAAATGCATTAATTCACGCAGAACCTCAAACCCAAAATCGAATCGTTAGGTTCTCATACAAAAATATAGATTATTTATACCGGTAATTGTGTATATACTATATCAGAAGCTTTACCTGTACAGAAGACCAACGCGCCTGCGTAACTTTTTCCGCAACTTGGAATCATATCCTTTAATAAGAAAATATATTCAAGATCCAATACTTCATTTAATTCCTTCATGCTAATAAGACAGAAAACATAACCAAGTCAGTTAGGATATGTTTCGGTCTTATCATGCCAATGTCCGAAACGATATATGTATTGGAAACGTTACAATAATTACCATGATATCATTTATAATTAACAAGAAGACCAGAAAGATTCAACAACAAAGAAGAGAACATCATCTAGCACGTTTATTCAAGCCTCGTTCTAATACTCCTAGTATGAATCCCGATAACCACTAGTCGGAAATCTTTCTTACTTGATATTGCACCTCCAATATAAGAAAGGACATCTCGGATTATCCATCGGATCATCCATTCTTAATCCCTTATTCTATTTTAGATCTAAAACTAGCACTTACATGACGACTAACCTTGACACAATTACATCTTTAGCACCACCTTCCACAATACATGTGCAAGCTTATACATGTATTCCAAGTTCATCTACGCCACAATCACGCCTGATCTAAAACTCCTCTTTACTCTAAGTCCAGAAAAATATCACTACCTGGATCAGCTAAATGGTTCAGAGTCATTAAGGAAGAAAAGTGGAATGCTGAATACAAAAAGAATATCACCCAAGATGAATAAGATAAAAGATAGAGCTAAATTTTACGGAACAATTCCACATGAAGTTTATGCAAAATAGATGCGTTACCAAATTTTCAAGATAAATTCCATAAGCGTGTCAGTGCAGCTTTATTACCTGATTCGTCATTAGAGAGCTCCTCGTCAAAGAAGATAAAGAGGAAAAAGAAAGCTAATCTCCCTTTACCGACATATGAAGATTATAGTAGACCCTCTTACACTTCGGATGAAACGAAAGAAATCAAATCAAGACCGAAGAAACGTGAAAGTTTCCAAGTCTCTATCCCAATTAATCTGGGTTCCAGTCACAAAAGCCATGCCCTTCACCCCGACCGCCAGGACAAAGGATTTTCTCCTACTTTAGAATTGTGCCCGTGGATCAATGTTTTTATGATTGGAAGTCAATATAATTGATAAGATCTATCAAATATAGTATCGATAAATTATATATGTCGTAAATTACTGCATTGTCAAACAAAAGCATCTCCCATAGCTACTTGATAATGTGATCCACGTAAAGTGAAATGGATAAGATTTCGTTGTGATTGAACAAAACGATCAACGCTGTAATTAGCTTATATTCAGATTCGAAGTAATCTAAGTATATGTAAACGTTTGTCCTTTATATCATTAATATGCCAAATTAAACAATTTTTGCAATATTTTTGTTAAATTTAAGTGCGTCATAGTATTTATTTCCAAAATAATTACATTTGTACTCATTGTTCTTAAAGAAATAAATAAAACAGGCATAGGATTAGATTTTAATCTTGGCGCAGGATCAAATGAGTAGTTATCTTTGTTTATAAACATTGTAATACCATTACATATACGTTCAAAAGTAAACATTAGTAAAAAATTATAAAATATGTATGTACACTTCAGTAAATCCGTGTTCAGTCTTCATTCGTTGAAATAATGATGTTAAGTGAATATTTCTATTAGCTAATAAATATCTTTATGTTTTAGAAAAATGGTTTTTACCTGGCCTTTGTACACGTTTTATAAATATAAATATTGATGAATATTTTTTTTTTTATAAAATTTAGTAATATACGTCTTATATCCATTAAATCTAATTTTTAACACGTTTACTAAACTAAACACGAATATTAAATAATATATTTCTCTATAGGATGTAAAATATTTACAACTTTTAACTCTATTATATCGATCATAAAAGAATTTATTTAGAAAAATTTCTTAAGATCATTTGTGTTAATTATACAATATAAACCTAAATATGCTGCTAATCCTATACTTAACAAATTCATCTTATACACTCGTCATAAAAGAGAACTCCTCTAATAAATAAATGCTTAAAATATTTACGTATAATGTTCCAAAGTCCACCGGTTGCGTGGTAATTCTACATGTGATTAATTACTTTGTATTACATGTAAACTCGCATTAAGCTTGGTATTGTTACGTACGCCAGTTTTTTAAGGTTTATAAAAATAAACGATTGCAAAGCAGAAAATTATAGTTATACAAATTGCGATTATCAAAACAAATGTGAAAGCTACAGCACGCTTCTCTGTCACGAAAAGATCAATATTCAAATCTTATTATCATTTTTCTGGTAAAACTCTCACTATATCCTTCGTCTGCATCAAGGCAGAGTTTTATTTATATTAAAAAAATTACACTAAAATGTATCTAAGGAAACACGTAACAAAAATATAAAATATAAAAAAAATTAGAAATATATCAATAATAAAAACAAGTAATATAATCTTCCTTGGTTTAATCTTCGTAATTTTATCTGTAGATAAAGTTGCAACTTATATCTAAAAAACTCTGACGAATCAAACATTGATTCAACAATAAGCATACTAAAAGAAGGTAAATACGTCATGATTAGGTAATTAAAAGCTACAATATAATCATATTTGATATTGTTGTATATTGATATCATTTATACTTATATGAAAAGCTTGTACAACAAAAAAAAAATAATATTTATACAGTCTTTTTTCTTTTTTTTTTAATACACCCATCTCTTTCACTCCTCCTTCAGATACGACTAAGTACTTTTTTATAAATACTTTCTTTTCAAATAAATATCTAATAAATACCTTTTTTTTCACGCGCAAATAAATATTAAGGCGGAAAAAAAATATATATCAACATCAAGAACTGTATTTACTGGTGGAACTGCCTTTGGACAACATATGGGTGACGAGTTTCACTAGATAGCTATTGGAAACTTGTTTTGTAAGTGAAAAACCACTGCAACTACTCCTGTCAGTTTAGACGCTTTTGTGGTTCTTTTTTACATGTTTTCTGCTGTCTATCACACATTTGATTCTTTCAAATTTAAGAATTTAAGATGATGCCAAATTTGGTATCTATTTGCGATAGAGGACAAGCTAACACTAAACGAGGCTGGGTCATATCATTAAATGGTGAGTATAAATAACAGTTTGCCGGATGGACATACGAGTATGTGTTCACCGGAGAAGGGATCGCAGAAAGTATTCCGGATGGTGGACTGTTGTGATTGACATAGAAGTTTATGTGCTCGTAGTACGTACCATTTGCTACTGGCTATGTAGTCATCTGCTTTGTGCACAAGTCGTAGCNTCTATGGGCTAACACACTTGTAAATGTTTAATATTGTACTATACTAGATAAATAATTCGTAGAAATATCATACTAATATAAATGCAACAAAAAATTAAAACCAAATTTATACACAGATGTTAGCTTTCAGTGTTAAATATTTTTTCCTGATAGAATACAAATTTAATAAGTTCAATCACATTCAGCAATATTCATCTTTTCCAGCTTAATATAGTTTCCTCTTATACACATCTAGATGTGTATAAGAGACAGGTATTAGGTTATAGTGACTAAAAAATTTTGAAAATTTTGTAGGGCTTATATCAATTCATTTTGTCCTTATCTCGATAAATCTGCATTATGAAATTTCTGAATTGGAGTAGGACGAATATTGAAGTCAAGACAATAATTTCAGTTTCTTCAATATTTTATTACATGATAAGGAAAAATATATATTGATTACGGATCGATAGGACTCCAAAGAATTCATATAAGTTTCTATCAATGCTGACATTTGAATGTTTGAATGTTACAGTACAAAATAATATTCATCGTAATTTAAAATCTGCAACTAGATTAAAACTTTTATCAATTTGTTATTTATTTAGTTCTGACGGATGTATTTCAGGTTCCTTTGCAATGCAAGTTAATGGCATCACCAAATTTTTAGGAAGAATGTTAATTTAAATATTGTATATAAACAAGAGGTCATTTTCATGGGGGAGCTTGACATGCTTTTAAAAGATATTTTTATTGTAAAAAAAAATGACCAATTTATAAATATGCAAATTGTTGTATATATAAGCTTCGTTAAATAAATAAATTAATGTTTTCTATCTATAATGAGTAAGTCAAGTATAGAGAATGGCAGATTTCGGTTTATTATAAGTTAAAATAGTAAATTTAAGGGAATGGGTTTTTTTTTCAAATATGTCACATGATGTACAATATATAGAGTAAATTTCTTGATTGGCTGACAGCAACTTAGCTAATTTTTGATCGGCTAAACTTAAAATTTTATCGCAAAAGATATTTTTAAAAAAAAAATTTTTTGCAAACATTTATTCAAAATAATCTTATCTAATGAAATTTTATTTGCAAATATTAAATTTAAGTCACACATTTACGATTTTAAAGAAAAGAATCACTGTATTTTTAATGAAGTGATACAAATAAAAGAAACAATAACAATAAATAAAAAGATAAGTAAATTACAATGATCAAGGAGAAAGATGCTAATAAAAAAATGAAATAACAATGGAAAGTAATAGAAGATGAAAGGGAGTAATGATAGAAATCAAAAAGGAGAAATCGGACATGATGGGAGACGAAAAGGATTGATGGAAAGATGAAGAGGAGCGATGGGAGACAAAAAGGAGTGATGGGAATGAAGAGGAGAGAAAAAAAGATAATGGAAAATGAAAAGATGTAATAGAAAATAATGGAGACAAAAAAGTATGGAATAATGAGAAGTAATAGGAGGCTAAAAAACATCAAAATTGACGTTTTTAATTAAAATCAATAAAAAAACGTTTTTTCAATTAAAAATGTCAATAAAAAAACGTTTTTTCAATTAAAAACGTCAAAAAAAAAACGTTTTTTCAATTAAAAACGTCAAAATTGATATTTTTCAATTATTATAAAAACGTCAAAATTGATATTTTTCAATTATTATAAAAACGTCAAAATTGATGTTTTTTAATTAAAATCACCAAAATTGCCATTTTTTAATTAAAAAAATTTAAAAAAATTGGTTTTTTTAATTAAAAAAAGTTAAAAATTGGTTTTTTAATTTAAAAACGTCTAACTTGACATTTTTAATTAAGATAAATAAAAAAAATGTTTTTTTTTTAATTAAAAACATCAAACTTTAACGTTTTTAACTATTAATTAAAATAAGTAAAAAAAATAATGTTTTTTAATTTAAAACATTGAACTTTGTGTTTTTTAAAGAATTTATTTCAGGTCAAATGGGTTAGGTGACCCTACTCAACCCAACCCATCTGGAACACTACATACAGCTAGTATTAAATTAAAATAAATGAGCTTTCTTTATATCAAAAGTTTGTTATTAATTATTATTTTTTTTACTTTTTATTAACAAAGTAACGTTGTCATGATCAAAAAAAATTTTAATACAAAACTCTATAATTTGATGGCTAAATTTAACGTAACATGAAAGTACAGGATAATAGTAGTAATAATTATATTATTTAGTATGATGCTTTGGATAGTATTAGAAGCTATATTTATTTTATAGAATTTTACACTAATCTTACTTTGTAGCGCCATCGTAGATGTTAGTAGTTTGATTTATATAATTTTATAGGGTCAATTTTACTTTCTTCTGCAGGGTGGGCTTCAACTTACCAAGCTTAGGCTAGTGTATGGTAGGTAGTGGGTTAATTAAAGAAATGGTTTTTAGGTGTAGTTGGTTATATCTTTAATAGTTTCGTATTTAATTACCCACCATCAAAGTAGATTCTTCTAATAGTTTGGTTCGATTTTTTTATTTTACTTTTTCATTTTTGATTGTTTATAAAAATTTTGTATTCGCTAACTGTTACTGTTTAATAAAAATAAAAATAAAAATAATCTAATAATAATAAATATTACTGTCAAATAAAAATAAAAATAATCTAATAATAATAAAACTCACAAATATTTAAAATATTCAATAATTTCGACGCATTTGATGAATCTCGTACGTTCCTTACATTTGCTCGGTAAGATATTCGTCACGTGAAGTCAACGTGACAGTACCTTTTCCTTCATTAAAAAATAAAGAATACCTTTGATAAATAAATATGTACTACTACAAAAATATCATTTGCGAGTTTTTTTATAATATCTATGGGCTAACACACTTGTAAATGTTTAATATTGTACTATACTAGATAAATAATTCGTAGAAATATCATACTAATATAAATGCAACAAAAAATTAAAACCAAATTTATACACAGATGTTAGCTTTCAGTGTTAAATATTTTTTCCTGATAGAATACAAATTTAATAAGTTCAATCACATTCAGCAATATTCATCTTTTCCAGCTTAATATAGTTTCCTATTTGAGTTAAAAAAAAAAATATTGAATTGTTGACGTGATAACCTAAAAATAGTGTTTATTATGTGTAAATAGAAAAGTTTACTTACTATTTTTTTTGAGTTTCATTCGTTTCATTCTCCAATCTTTCAAAATTACGCTTTATTGGTACAGTTAAGCTTTGGGTAACCGAATTTGTATTTTTTGTGGATGAACTAAAAAATATACGATATTATTATTCATTCGAAGCTATATACTGTATATTATATTAATTATTACCTTTGAATATTATTTATATCAATTTCATATTCTTTAGTAATATATTCTAAAAAATAATAAAAGATAGTATCTAAGTTAACTAATATAAATTTAAAGAATTACTTACATCCGGCCGTCTAATTAATGTTTCAAGTTTTTTTCATTAATTATAATATACTATAATATACCTTGTTTCATATTAGATGAAACCATTGAACTTATAGTTGAAGCTTTAGAAATCAAATCACTTAATGCTCTACTTGTATAAATTGCTTTTGGATGAGACTTTTCACTAAATTCGGGTCCAAGTTTCTTTGATTGTATTAATTCCAATCTTTTGTTTTCAGCCTGATTAATTTCTACAGTAGTTCTACTCATAATTTCCAAACTGACAGTAAAACCATAGATTTTGTTAATTGTTGGTCTTTTTGAAGGATTAGAATACCAACATTTTTTCATTAAATCGGCATAACATTCAGGAGTATCTTCTGTAATTTTAGGTCGTTCTCCATCAAGAATTTTAAAGATGAGATTATGATCATGTTCGACATTAGCAAATGGTTTACAACCTGTTGTAAGCTCCCACATAATCATGCCCAAACTATATATATCAGATTCTTTTGAAAATGCGGCACCCTTAAATATTTCTGGTGCGATATAAGGTATTACTCCATATATTTCATTATTTGACAATGTATTATTTGCAGGTTGTGATAATCCTAAGTCTCCAACTTTCCAAACATCTGACAATAACATATTTCCACTATGAATATCTCGATGTATAAAATTATGATTATGAATATTGTGGAGTCTGAAATAAACATTTAATTATTAATAAACTTACTGTAAATATAGGTAATAATTAATGTATTAAAATATTATACCCCATTGTAATTCCTTCTAAAATAAACAATTTATTGTGCCATGTAATATTTATAAAGTTCTTCTGCAAATAATCATGTAAATTTCCACCTTCCGCATAATCCAATATTAACATATACTCTTTTGTTATAGGATCTTTTGTAATACCATAACAACCAATAAGCCAATTTTTAAAAATGCCATTATTACATTGATAAAGTGAATTTAACTAGAGTATATAAATGAAACAATTAATACAGTATCAAAAAAAACACATTGAAGAATATAAAATGTAAAAATATTACCTCATTTAAAAAGTATTTACTGACGTTTTGCGAATAATGTAATTTTTTTACAGCAACATCAATGTTTTTATATGACCAAGTTGCTTTATAAATAATACTAAATCCTCCTTCTGCTATTTTCTTTAAATTCTTAATCTGAGAATATGGAACCCACTTTATTTCTTCACGTTGTCTTGAATAAAGATGACCACTAATAAATAAATAAAGATTAAATGGATCGCAACTTGTGTTACTGTTAATGTAATCAACAATAAATTGGTGAGTATAATAGTTGTTAGGTTTTGTAGAAATAAGAAATTCATCTATAATGTGATTTCCACTTCTAATATCTGTAATATCAATTCTAACGAATAAAATTCTTTTGCATTTCTTACATTGGGATTGATCTGCAATTCCAAAAATTATATTTGTTGTTAAACAATACCTACATCCCGTATAAATTATAAAGCAACGTGGACACCATTTTTGACAATAAGATTTTGACTCTTGGTGTATATATCTTAGTTCTATATAACAAACTACACATTGGTTATGACTATCCCACCATGGTAAATATAGAATCGGAATAGGCTTTTTAGCCAAAGTTGATTTGACCCATCCAGAAGAAATCTGACAACCCAATAACCGCCTCTTGTAATTGCAAACTTCGCAGTACGCATCATTAATAAAGTGATAACAATTTTGTGATAGTAAATCTTTTGTGACTACTTGTGTAAAGTATAAAATCTCAGAACAATATTCACACCATTCTTGAAGGTTTGTTGTATAAGAATTATTTCTAGTCGCTTTATGTTTAATACATTGAGAATTATTTTTACATATGATACTATGTGCGTCCAAGTAAGAGTTATTGTCTGTTATATATTGAATATACCAAAATAAACAATTTTTGCAATATTTTTGGTTATATTCAAGCGTCTTGGAGTATTTAATTCCACAATAATTACATTTTTCCTCATTTTCCTTAAAAGGAATAAATAAAACGGGTACGGGACTAGATTTTAATTTTGGTGTAGGATCAAATGGATTATTATCTGTGTTCATAATGTTGTATTTCAAGAAAATAGATTATAAAAGTAAATGTAAAAACTATAAAGCAATATTTGTATTTTATAAAAAAGTGAATTTCTACAGAACTTTTCTTTAAAGAGTTAAGGATATTCTATATAGAAAATTGTAGGACATATCTATAATTATGCACGTTGAAATTTGTCATCACGTATGAATTCAAGCAACTTAATTTAGAAAATTCACGGTGTAATTCTCCGTCAAATTACAAATGATTACAAATCAAAAAATTCCAGATGTTTGACCAATTGAACCGCATGGAACTAGGGGCGAAATTTATTATAGCCAATGAGAATAACCTGTACTGTCAATATCTGATATGAAATTAGAAAAATTTGTTGACGATCAATTATAAATAAAACAACTCTGTTTATACTTTGCTGATTAAAAGGGGTTTCAATGAGTCACCGGAAATGTCACACGCTGATAAATCAAATTTGTGTAACGTTAATCGATTAATCGAACAACTTTAAACCGTCAGATCCCATTGTACTAAATTACATAATTCATGTGTTCTATCAATTTCTATCGTTAATAGTGGTGCAGACTTTTGAACCTTAGGTAGTTACGTCATTTTTTTCAACTTCCCGTCGTCCCGTCAGTAGCGTCACATTGTCGTATGACGCCATAAATGACTTTTGCCATATGGATTTTTTTAGACTTTACATAAACTTTTGACGTAATTACTTTTAGATTTTTAGGCTTTATATAATGAACTTTCGGTGTAACTACTTTTAAACTTAATATACTTAAAAGCAGTTTTCAAATAAAAAAAATAAAAAATAAAAAATAAAAGTTTATATTATTTATATTAAGTTTCGATATTTAACATGTCGCCATATACTACTACTATAATTTAAGAAGATTTTATAGATATACAAATCCAATCTTTCAGGGGGAAAATGGATTGCGTGAAGAACTAAATATACCTAATACTAATAAAGAAGTTAATAATAATATAGAATTTAATCCTATTAACATAGTTGATAATATTTTAAATACTAGATTAGAGTAAATTGTTTACATGATGTTATATCCTTCGTTTATATAAAAGTAATAGCATTGCATATAGAAACATGTTAAATAATGCTGTTAATTAAAAGAAGCAGTAATTTTATTTTTAATTAATTTATTTAATATTTTTATTTGTTTTAATTATTTAATTATTTTTTTAATTACGTCATACGTCAAAACTGTATGAAGTCACGCCCGTGATGTTACGTCACTTGACACCGCATTACCATCAAAAGTTTGCACCACTAATCGTTACTTTCTATTTTAGTTAGTAACGTGCATTTAAATTTGTATGTAAAATTTACAATAAATTTAAAATATCGAAATACATTTCTACCTACTAACTCCATCAATAAATTAATGGGTACCGCGTTACCTCTAACAAATAATAATTTATGTGTTTGTAACTATTTAACAAATTCTTAGATTTGTAAGCTTTAATTGAATTGTCTAAATCACTCGTGAAACTCGATTTTCCAAACATGCCTTTTTTTCAAAAGCATGAAAATTTTTGACCAATCAGTTTCTTGTAATTCATTACGATGAAAAATATCTTCTAATAACGAACTCGTTAAAATTTCACTTTTATATTTAATTTGTTATGAACTTTTTCATCCGATTTCATAATTCCCAAAAATTATTTGTTTTTTTTTCCATCTGAGCGTAAATTTGTCCAATTCAATATTAATGACGCTTAACGTTAATCTTTCTATAGTCATTAGCCTCTGACTATCTTCGTATTCCCTCGTATTAGTTTTTTTAATGTGTTGCTATCTATATTGTTATTAACTAAAAATATTCTTGTAATGATTAAGATTAAGTTTTTTACGCTCACTTTTTTCCTCGTTAAAAATGATACAACTGAATTGTCTATTTTAATTACTGTACTATTGTCGTTTGCATTTCCTTTCCATTTTTTCAATAATAAGATCATTATTATAATTCCGTACAAAATCGTTTTAATTCTGTCAATTTCTTTTAATTTAATCTCCCATTCAATTTTCTTTATTTCAGTTACTTCTTCTTTGGATATGTTAATGATAGTTATGATACTGATCTCAATAATATACGTAAAAAATTTTTTGAATTCATCTATTTCATATACTTTGTCCCGTTCTTTCTTATATCTTATTTTAATTTCACTTATGTTATTATATAAAGTTAAATCTAAAAATGATTTTTAAAAGCTTATTAATATCATACTATATACTGATTGATCAATTCATTTTATCATGGCAGTTTTTTTTAGGCAGCTTTTGCGTAAAACATAAAAAACTAAAATTTTTCTATTACAAGAAACTTTTTTAATACTAAAGACAAAAAAAAAGGTACATAAAGCTCTTATAAATTATTAATATTCTCTTGTATTTCCAGTCCTTTTAACTAGAGTTTTGCTAACTTGCCCCCGGGTTAAATAACCTAGGTTAAATCACCCCCCCTAAATATTTATATTTTACACCAATCAATTTGATTGGTTAATTTAATTTATTTACGTTACTGAAAATTTGCAACACTTTTATTCGCAAAATTTTTTTGTACTATAATGGTTTAAAAATATTTAATCAAAGTTTATTAATTAGAAAAAAACTCATACTTTATTTATTTTTAACAGGACTAATAATTATGGTACATATACACAAAAAAATACATGACAATAACAAAGCAAACAAAAGAACAAAGCTATAAGAATAAAGAATGAAACTCATGTAAAAAGTTAAAGAATGAAATGATGATGAAACCTATGAATTCTAAAAGTAAAATTCGTGACAGAAAAGTAAAACATATTAAGTCAAAGAGCAGTATAGAGTAAAGAAAAGATAGTTAGTAAAGAATAAAAATTAGAAAATAAGCAAGAACCTAAAGATTAAAGAATAAAAAAAAATACCCACTACAAAGAAAAAAGAAAAACTCCCCATAATTAAGTTTAAGAGCGAATCCATAAAAAAAGTTAATGACCAAATAAAAGCAAGTTAAGAGCAAAACGCGTCATATAATGTTGAAGAGAAAGGAGTTAAAGAACGGCATAAAGAAAAGAAAATATAGTTAGTAAGAAACAAAATTAAAAAACAAACCCAACAAAAAAAGAGAACGTACCTTTTTAACGCGTTAAGATATAATATTGTATTAGAACTTGTAAAACCTGGAAGAGCCTAAAGACCTAAAAAAAATGTACTAAAGAAAAAAAAAAGAAAGAAGATAAAAATAATAAACAAAAAAAGGAAATGGAATGGAAAAAGGAAGGAAAATAAAACGAAAAGAAAAAAAAACAAGGGGGAAGAAAAAAACGAAAAAAAAATAATATAAACATAGTGTAACTATAAATATTAGCCAGCCCAATCAAATTTATCACATGATAGGGGTGAATAATTCATATAATTATATAAAATTTACTAGTAGGTTAAATCACCCAGGTTAAATCACCCCGGGTTAAAATTAGTCTTATACTTTTAACTATATTTGTTGGTTATAATATTATATGCTTACGCTAATAATTTCCACAAATCTACTCTTTGGGTGGTTTGAAGTTATTTTAGTGACTTAAACAAAAATACTAAGCAGAGAATAAGAAATTCTTAAGGTGAGTTTTGTGTGATGATTTTCAATTTATAATATTAAATACTTAGATCACTAATTTTGTGTACAGTAGATTGAATAAATTGATAATTTCTTCAATTATTTCTTAATTTTTGTATTTTTCTTCCATGTTGCTATTACTTTTTTTGTATCTAATATAGGTTTACTTTTTTTTGAGTAGGTTGTATGATAGTTAAAAAATAATTTTTTAATGATTTCTTTATCTTCGTGATGGAGTTGATCGTTGATAGGGTAAAATCATTAGTTGATCGATGAAAATAAGTTGATAGGATGATTGGTATTTCATATAGGTTTATTTATTTATTTTTTTTTTTTGCGGAGGTTGAATAATAGCTAAAAATAATTTTTTGATTTTCGTGATGGAGTTGATCATTGATTTAGTTGATCGATGAAAACAAGTTGATTACTCATATAAGTCAATTTATTTTTTGCATAGGATAGATTTATTTTTTTTAATGTAAATTGATTATCTTTTTTTTTTATGTATGATAGAAATTTCTTTATCAATTTTCATAAATAAATAGATTTACCCTTTTTAACGTAAAATTTTACCAGATTCAATTTTTTTCATATAAAATTAAAATGTTTTATACCCCAACAAAAATTTTCAATTAGTTAAAATTAATATAGTGTATTAAAGTTACATTACGCTAATTATTTCAATATATCATTAATTTCAATTATGATTAAAAAATAATTGATTTTTCACAAATTTTCATAGTAATGGGTCGATCGGTATGGTAGATTGGACAGATAACATGATTCTCATATTCCAAGTTTTTCTCTGAATCCATTAAATAAATCTAAAAAAAAAATTTTTTTTTTTAATATAATACAAGTTATGATCAAACTTTTTCATTTTTAACGAAATTTAGGCCGGCATTACGAAATTGGCCAGAATTAACAAAATTTCGGCCAGAATTATGAATTATTGTTGATCGGCAAATTTAACCAGAAAAAAAATATTTTTGGCCAACTTTGATTATATATATGTATGATACATTTATAGCGAGATAAATATGCAATAAATGCCAAAAACACCCCATTATACATTTTTTCCATATATATGAAGTAAAATGATAAATACACATATTTCATATATCAGCGAGTTAGTATTTGCTTTATTCATTTTTGGTTACTAATACACTGTGTACTGTGTATAAACAAATAGGAAAGATTTTGTGCTTGTAACAACAGACCAATAAATTATCGCCACTATGAGATTTTGTCTTTACTTAGCTTTAGAATGAAATGGTTGGTCAAGAACCTTGCTAACAATTGGTTGTTTTTTTATTTAGTGTTATCTTTAATATAGAGTTACAGCTGATTAATGATAAATTTTGACCTTAAGGTTCATCTAGACTGAATATGGAGTATTCTCATGTGATCCTTCAACGCCTCCCTAATTATTAATTATTTTGACAATTCGCTAGTCGCTACGCCATCTGTTTAATGTGATGGAATCAATTTTATCATTGTTATCATTTAACCCTTAGAGATAATTCTAAAAAAAGAATTATTAATTAACAATAATTAGTAATCCTTAATTTAATAGTTAGTTTCAATATAATAAAAATGATGGAAATGTTTATTTAAGTCAATCAAAAATTGTTTTATGATTGCTGTATCAAAAATTAAAACAAGGAAACTATTTCCAAATAGAGTTTAAGAAAACTATAAGTGTAAATATGTAAAAAAATTACAATATACAGCCTATTCTAATAGAAATACTTAGTTCATACATATAAACGAACCTATGGGTATGGGTTTTACTACAAACTTACCTAAATAATTAGGATACCAAAAAAAAATATCCGAAAAATAATCACACCCATTAATAAATTATTACCCTGTAAAAAAAAAATGTCCGGAAATTGTAGCTAAAAACATCCGGAAAATGTCCGTGTGTCCGGAAAACGTCCAGAAAATTGCAATATTCCGGACACTTTCTGGACGCTGGGTCTGAACCCTCCTAGACATTTTCTGGACATTTTCCGGAAAATGGAAATTTTCCAACGTCCGGAATATTGCAATATTCCGGACATATTCCAGACAAATAAACATTTTCCGGACGTTTTCAGCTACAATTTCCGGACATTCTTTTTTTATAGGGTTACGAATATTACCCCACAGAATGCATTTACTTAATTCATGACCTTTTCATCTTATTTTAAATCGAGGTTTTGTTCAATAAAACTCATATCGGTGTATAATAATATTTTATTGTGCTATTATGGGTCCTTTGCACTTTTGGTGCATTTTACTTACTTTAATACATCTTTAGTCTTTTGCTTTTTAAAATCAAACAAATTTATAATAATGTATTCCTGAGGCACATTATCATCTTATGTGTAAAAAATATAATCCTTTATTAATATATATAATAGATACATAAATGAATGAATGAAAAAAAAAAAAAATAACAAGGTAATAATCAAAAGTTAAAAAGTTAAATTCAATCAATTTCTTTTATAAAATTACCAACATTAATTTGTAAATCATTGTAATTTATGACTTGAATATCATAAAAATCAAATTCTTTTACATCATCTTTTGAAAAAACCAAATCTTTCCTTTTTCCAATAAAAAAAACTTCTTCAAAAGCTAAAAATTTAACCCTACTTTCTTTCATAATATATTCTTTTATAATAGGTAAAATATTTTCACTAGTTTTAGACATTTTATTTCTAATTAATAATTTGTTAATAAAAGTATTTTGAGAATTTTTTAAAAAAATTTTTAAATTATCAGAATTAATCATAAGAGCTAAATTCAAATATTCTAATTTAGTAGGTAATAATTGACCTAAATTTAATAAAATAATTGAACTAAGTTCAATATCATCACTTAATTGAAAGTTAAAAAATTTACAAAAATTAATAGAAAGATAATTAAGATTTTTTTCAATTCTTTCAATTAAATTAAAAGCAAAAAAAATATTTTGATTATTAAAACCAAGTAAATCAAAAAATTTAATATTTGAACAATATTTAATAGTTAAATCAAATAAATTTTTTTTCATTTCATTACTTATTAATGATTTAAAACCAAAATTTTCTATATAATCACCAGATTTTCTTAATAATAATTGTAATGAATCAAATTGTAAAGTAGTACTTAAAAATAAGGATTTTAATTTAAATGGTTTGGTAATATTAACAATTTGTTGAATAAAATTAGAATCAAAATAACAATAAAGTATATGAATAGATTCTAATACATTTAATAATTCAAATACTTCATATAAAATAATTGAATTAGTATTTTTAAAATCAACTTCAAAAAATAGGAGTGATCTTAAAGTATTTGAACAATTAGAATGTTTTAATGATAATAATGTATAATTTAAAGAAAATTCAATTTGTTCGAATAAAATTTTTTGAAGATTTTGTTGTGATTTGATTATCTCTGATAAATTATTATTAATTAAAGTTTTATCCATAATATTTCTTCTTATAAAATCGAAATGAAGTGTCGTTATTGAATTACAAGTATTTGATACAAATGATAAAAAATTTAAATAAGAATTAATCTTCATTAATTTTAAATTATTAATTTTACTAATAAAATTTGGATTTTGTAAAATTAATTCAACTGTATCATAATCATAAAATTCATTTAATACATATTCAAGAGCATTTAAATTTGCTTCATTATTAATAAAGATTTTAAATAATAATTTATAAATCTTTCTTGATAAATTTAAGTCAAATGGATGTAAAGGAAATACATAATTTGTTTCTTGTTGTTTAAAATTATTATTATTAGGTTGTTTCCTATTTAATAAATTTCTAATAGTTCCAACCCATTTTTCAGCTGAAACCAAAATTTTTCTTGTATTTAAAGATTTAATAAAATTAGGATAATTGAATAATGTATTTAAAGGAAAAAAGTCACTATCAATTCCATATTCATTTAATTTTGTTTTATCATCATCATTTATATTATGTAAATAAATTTCAATGAAATAATAATTTTTAGGATGTTTCATTGAAAATGGATCTTCCCATAATATTGGAATTGCTAGACGACACCATAATCTATTAACCAATATACATGAATGTAATGTACCATAATCATTTCGAAGATATTGTATAATTTCGTTGGTTAATTCTGGTAAATTTCCTGGTAATAATTTTGAGCATGACATATTGTATACAAAAAGTAAATAGAAAAAAGTAGGAGAAAGGAATAAAAGAAGGGATTTCTTTTTAATTACGTCAAAATTATTAAATTAGTATAAATTATATCATTTTCGGATTTAGGGTGTGTCGATCATTTTGAATCATACACCAATCAAATAGTGTTTGGGCAAAGATAAGCTAATCGCTGACGGAAATGATCGGCATTTAGTATGACCGAACGAAAAAGGAGACAAAAAATAGCTAAAACAAGTTTGTATGGTAATATAATTACCCTATTAGTGCAATAAAACCATATACGTTTGTAGATTTGAAAAATACTTTGATGCACAATTAGGGTAACAATGGACGAAACTATAAATACCAAAGTCATAATTATTGTATAGTTCCGCTCACTTATTTTCGGCCGATTTGCCTATCACTATTTATAAACTAGTACTTCTGTTTCTTATCTTTTACCCTTTTTACTATTACGTCACTATTTAAGTTGTTCCTTCCAGATAAATTGACTAAAGCTCTTTATGATCGACGCCTTATTTTTGATTTTTCTTGTCAAAAATTTGAGCTTCGTTCTGGTTTGAACTAGCGAATATCAAGTTCGTCTTATGAGAATTTTTTTAAAAAAATAGTCTTTAAGACTTTAAATAATTTTATTATAAATCTGGATTTTCTTGATTTTTCATATCAAATTCGGTTAGAACGTTCTAAATTTTACGTATCGGTATCGTATCGGTATGCTTTTTATAAAATCATCGTTCTCACTTCGAATTATAAAAATCAAAAATCATGTAAGAAATATTCTCTATGGAAAAAAGAATTATAATTTCAAAATGGGAGGTATTCCATTTCTTAAAAGTATTAATTTAAATTTTAATGTTAATAAAGCACAAGTTAATAGGTTTCATATCATAATGATTAAGTTACTATAAGTCATTTTGCACAATATCTCTTTCAAACGTAATAAAAAAATGATGCGTAATAAATGTAATGCCTTGTTTATACAAAAAAGAAATAAAAAATATTTACATATCAAAAAAATCACCTACTTCTTAATATTTTAAAGCGAAATATTTGAAAATTTATTTTATTTATTTCATATTATTTTTTTTGAGTTATGAATTTTTAAACATGCTAAAGTTAGAATTTTTAACAGGAAAAAGTTTTTTCCATTTCAGGTGCCGAACAATTTTTTGAAATAGTCAAATATCTTAATTATATTATCATGTTCAGATAAAGTACATACTGAAAATAATCTGCGCGTTTCAGAGAATAAATAAATTTTTGCGTTCAATTTTTAATAATCTGAATTTTAACATATTTTGTCGCACAACGATTTAACTCGAGCGCACAACCTTCCCTGCACTCAGTATGACTGTACTTGGACTTTAACTCATGAAACTTTTAAAGAAAGTCATAAAAAAGGAAGGAGACAATAATGGGAATAAAGCATACTGTAGGGGTGTAGGTGAACAACGCCGAGAATGTGAAATAATAAATCACGTGTCAACTCTCAGAAGTTTATCGTTGATAGTTTTACAATACTGAACAAGTTAGGATTTCGGAAGAATAGATTGGATAAAAGTAATTTTTTTTGGTAAGCCTGTAAATTTTCCACATAAAATATTTATTAATATTCACATGATCACATGAACCTCGTAAATGTACAACTTTTTATGTTCACATTTGTGCTAAATATTTGCGTTAATGTTACAAACAAAGCCAACTTCACTATATTATATATCGCTCAGCTTGTGTGAGTTTATTTAAATATAATAATAATTTTCTATAACCGTAATAATATTGCTAATAGCCTAATACTTAATACATAGTATAAAATAAAGTAGTATTATTATACAGATCAATATTTGATGTAGTCTATTTAGGCCTATTTTAATTGTATGACGTCTTTTTGTACGAAAATTAAATTGACAAATTTACAGTATCCGTCTGTATCCCTACACACGAAATAAACGTTTTTTGAATTATAGAATCATGTATGGTTTGGAACGTATGTTTTTTGCGTGATGTAATAATATGATAATCGTCATTTATGTGTTAACATGTAAATGTTTAATTTTATACTTTATTTAAAATTTAAAAATAATACATAAAATATAAATACACTCAAACTTATCATATTCGATTATACTTCATAAACAAAGTTATTTATCTAAATTATAAGCTTTTAATATCTTTCTCCTATTTCAATTAAAAAAAACATTAATATAAATTAACGTGATTACACCTTACTACAATACTACAAATATAATTTGTCATAAAGTTTACTTACTATTTTTTTTACTTTTTTGTGTTTCAATCTCTAATTCTTCAATATTTCGCTTTCTTGAAGAATTTGTAATTACAGTTGATATCAAATTATTCAATAGTCCACTAGGTCCACTAACATTTTGATGCTGAAAATTAGAGACTTGAACGGAAGAATTTATATTTTGAGTGGATGAACTAAGAATGCATAATGAAAAATTTTAATTTTCTAATATATTATTAATATTTTACTCATTGTAACAGTTACCTTTGAACTTTATTTATATCAAGTTCATATTCTTTTGTAATATACTCTAAAAAGTATTTAAGTTAATATAAAAATGAAATAAATAGATCATTATCTAACTGCGAGTTAGTAATCATTAATATAACATACCTTGTTTAATATTAACTGAATTAATTGAAGAAAAATCTATAGAAGATTTAGAAATCAATGAACTTAATGCTCTACTTGTATAAATTGCTTTTGGATGAGGTTTTTCACTAAATTCGGGTCCAAGTTTCTTTAATTGTATTAATTCCAATCTTTTTTTTTCAGCTTGCTCAAGTGCTTCTTGTTTTAATTCTAATTCTTTTTTTTCAGCTTGTTCATGTACTTCTTGTATTAATTCTAAACCTTTTTTTTCAGCTTGTTTATGTGCTTGTATTATTTCTAATATGCTTTTTTCAGCTTGTTCATGTGCTGCTTTTATTAATTCTAATCTTTTTTTTCCAGCTTGTTCACGTACTTCTTGTATTAATTGTATTAATTCTAATTTTTTTTTTTCAGCTTGTTTATGTGCTTCTTGTATTAATTCTAAACTTTCTTTTTTAACTTGTTCAATTGCTTGTATTAATTCTAATATTTTTTTTTTAGTTTGTTCAGGTGTAAGTGCTTCTTGTATTAGTTCTTCAGCTTGTTCAAATTCTAATCTTATTTTTTTAACTTGTTCAAGTGCTTGAATTAATTCTAATCCATTTTTTTCAGATTGTTCAAATGCTTCTTGCATTAATTCTAATCCTTTTTTTTCAGCTTGTTCAAGTGCTTGTTTAAATGCTTGTTTAAATGCTTGTTCACATTCTAATATTTTTTTTTTAGCTTGTTTACATGCTTCTTGTCTTAATTCTAATCTTTTTTCTTTAGCTTGTTTAAATGCTTCTTTAAATTCAGTTTCATTTAAAAACTTCCATTCTATTTCATCAGCAGTTGGTCTTTTTGAAGGATCAGAATCCCAACATTTTATCATTAAATTAGCAAACAATTCAGGGGTATCATTTGTAATTTCGGGTCGTTTTCCATCAATAATTTCATAAATTAGATTAACATTATGCTCGACATTAGCAAAAGGTTTACAACCTGTTGTAAGTTCCCACATTATCATACCAAAACTATATACATCAGATTTTTGAGAAAATGCAGCACCTTTAAATATTTCTGGTGCAATATAAGGTATTACTCCATATATTTCATTATTTGGTGAGGTACTATTTGCAGGTTGTGATAATCCAAAGTCTCCAATTAGCCAAGATTGGTCTGATAATAATATATTTCCACTATGAAAATCCCGATGTATAAAATTATTTTTATGAATAGATTTAAGTCTAAAATGTAAACATTTAGTAGTTAATAAATATAAATACAGATAATAAGTTAATAAATTAAAAAATATAAATACCCGGATAATATTTTCTTTAAAATACGTAATTTTTCTTCCCACGTAATATTTATAAAATTATTTTGCAAATAATTATGTAAATTTCCGCCATTTGCATATTCCATTATCAATATATATTCTTTTGTTACAGGATCTTGTGTAATACCATGAAAACCAATTATTTCGGTACATTGAGAAAGTGATTTTATCTAAAGTATAAATATAATCCTTAATAAATAATCGAATAAAGCACATTAAAAAAATATATTAACATTAACATTACCTCATTGAGAAAATTTTTCCCAATTTTCTGTGAACTAAATAATTTTTTTAAAGCAACGTCAGTGTTCCTTATACCATCCGACCAAGTTGCTTTATAAATAATACTAAATCCTCCTTCTCCTATTTTTCTTAAATCTTTAAATTGAGAATATGGAATCCATTCTATTAAACATTTTATCACATTACTATATAATTTTCTAATAAACTTTAATGAATCTGAATCTGTATTATTATTTGTAAAAGTAAGAATAAAATCATCTACGATACGATTTTCACTGTTAATATTTGTAATATCAATATTAATAAATGATATTCTTTTACAATTTTTACATTGAGATTGACTTGTAATTCCAAAAATAATATTTGTGATTAAACAATATCTACATCCAGTATAAATTATAAAGCAATTTGAACACCATTTTTGGCACCATTTTTGGTAATAAGGTACTGACTCTTGGTGAATATATTTTAGTTCTTGTAAACAGACTACACACTTATCAAAGTTATCCCACCATGATAAATATAAAATTTGAATGGACTTTTTAGTTAAAATTGATTCTACCCATTCAGAATAAACTTGATGATGATGTTCTTGACCATACTCAACTAATTTAAATTTATTATATTCAAGTTTTGTTGCATAATATCCTCGTCCAGAACAATATTTAGAGTAATTATTTAATGATGAAGTATTTGGGATTAAGTGTGTAAAGTATAAAATCTCAGAACAATGTTCACACCATTCTTGAATGTTTGTTGCACAAAAATTATTCCTAGTTGCTTTATGTTTAATACACTGATGAGTATTACTTGTACTTACATACTTATTCAAACATACATCGTTGTCCATGTATTTAATATAACGAAATAAACAATTTTTACAATATTTTTGTTCAAATTTAAGTGTCTTGGAGTATTCAACTCCACAATAATTACATTTTTTTTCATTATTTTTAAAAGGAATAAATAAAACAGGTACAGGACTAGATGGTGCAGGATTAATCTTAAATAGATAAATATTAAATAGATTATCAGCTGTGTTCATAATGTTGTATTTCAAGAAAATAGATTATAAAAATTGAATATAAAAATAATACAAGAGTATTTATATTTCTGAAATACAATTCATTAGCGAACGTTTATAGAAAAAAAACAACTATGCATGTTGACAATCCGCCATTGTGTAATGAATTTTTACTTATTTAGAAATTCATTTCGTAGCTGAATTCTTTGCCAATCGGAGAAACGAACGTTTATAGAAAAAAAACAATTATGCATGTTGACAATCCGCCATGAATTTCTAAGATTTTTTACTTATTTAGAAATTCATTTCGTAGCTGAATTTTTTGCCAATCGGAGTTTTATTTGGTAAACTATTCCTTCATGACACAATTGACACATCCCCATTCATCGGGAATTTAGAATCAATTTAAACTCCGAAACATTTTTCTAACAAACTATAACTTATTGACAATGGTTGACCTGACGTAGTACCAAACACAAAATACAGTCACATGAGAATTGACCAATTAAAATGCTATAGCGCTCTTATTATTGTAAAATTTTCAGTACAGACATAATACTAACTAATAATGAAAACCATTACTACTTAATTGCATTACTTGTACAAATATAAAAAAAAGTAAATAATAAATTAATTTAAAACAAAAAAAAAATCTAATTATATTTGATGAAAATTTAAGTATAAAATACTCTATTACCTTGTTGTTATATGTTATATTATAAGTTCTCTTATAATTTTTATTCAAATAGTGCTAAAATAATACAATAATTAAATGTATAGATTAATTAAAAAAGTTTCTATACAAAAATACAAATCATTTTTTTTATTAGTACTTACGCCTTATGGTGTCATTTTAGCGTTATTCAATAACCTAAAGTACTGTGACTAGTGTTCCGAAGGGGTCGAGTCGGTCGGGTTTTGAGGTGTATTTGAACTCGACCCGAGTGTAAAAGTAACGACTCGGATTCGACATGACCTGACTATAGTCTGACTCGGATAACCCGGGTTCGACCCGTCAATTTGTATTTACAGCTGTTTTCATAAGACCTGGGACAAAATAAATTTTTGAACCCGACCGCCGGCCCACCGATCCGGTTCAGTTATTTATTTTACAAATCAAACTATCAAATCAGGATCACGTGCCCGTCTAAAAATACCGGATCGGCGGATCGGCGGATCGGGTTCAAAAATTTAGTTTGTCCCAGGTCTTATGAAAACAGCTGTAATATAAAAAAATTGAAATTTTAGTTAAAAATATAATAGAAAGATTCGGGTCGCCGGGTCAAAGTAAAGGTATAACCCGACTCGACGGGTCGGGTCGAGTTCATGCGGGTTACGGGTTATCAAATAATGCGACCCAGTCGGGTCAATAACCCGGGTTTGACCCGACCCTTTCGGGACACTAACTGTGAGTGTGAACGAAGTACTAAGGTGTGATCTAAAAGTTAAGCAGTAAATATACAAAGATTTCTAGTTCAGAGTATGTAGTATGTAAAGAGTTTATTTATAAAAAGAAAAAGTTTTGTACGTGAGAAAAATTGTGATATCAAATCAACCTTTAAAAATGGCAATAATAAAATAAGAAAAAACGTGTATCGCTCAGTCCCCTCACGTGAGAACGAGACGTCATCCAATGAAATCGCAAATTCTTTTATCGCTCTGGACTTACGACGGTTTCCGCTTCTTAGTGTTAGCCAATAAAAATTGACTAAAGTCTTTTCTAATCAAACAGTTTCATATTTGGCAAACCTTTGGACCATTTTCGTCAATAACACCCACAAATTCTTTATATTGTGATAAAACTAGATCACCGTCAAAGATTCTAATTTTAAACATGCTAAAATTCATTGTGAATAAATTATGTGAAATAGTCAAATACTTAATTATTTTATCAACTATGATGTAGAGTACTGTAAATAATTTAGAATACTGCGTTTCAGAAAACAAATAAGATTTGCGTTCATTTTTTAATAAACTGGATATAAACATATTTTGTCTCACCGTGATTTAACTTAAGCGTTCAATCTTCTCTGCGCCGTACTTAGACTTTTAACTCATGAGACTTTTAAAGAAAGTCATAAAAAAGGAAGAAGATAATAAAAAGAATAAAGTATACTGTAGGTGAACAACGCCGAAAGAGTTAAAACAATAAATCACGCGAAGACCCACCTAGCTATCGTTGATAGTTTAAGATGCTAAACAAGTCCGGGGGAATAGTTAGGAGCAAAGTAAAGCAGTTAATCTTTTTTTTAGTCTGTAGATTTCCACATGTAGCAATTGTAGCATGTTTAGCATGCTCTTTATATCACCCAAGTTAATTAATAAAATTTTAAAGACTTTAGAAGCATATTCACATGAACCATGTAAATGTACATAAAATAACAATACAATTCAACTTAAAGGAAAACATTAGCTTCGTATTTTTTGAAAAGATATTTTATTACATATATTTCCGGATTAGTTATTATCGACATGATAAATATATACCAAATTTTTTATTTACTTTTTAGACGTAAGTTGAATATCTACATTAACAACAGCTACTAAATAAAAAAAATTTTCTAATTGTACTTAATCCAGATAAATAAAAATATCTTAAATCCGCAATTGTCTTTGAAATCTTTTCTATAAAAATTAATAAATTTTCAGTAAATAAAAATTTCAATATAACAGATGTATTAATAAATATTCAGCAAATAAATTGCAATATACAGATGTGTTGTAAACTTTACTTTTTTAGTTCGAAACTCCACTATCATATCTACCATACCATTGCGTATACTTAAGATAGTTTTAATAAAATAAACATTAAATAATTATTTATATTTTAAAATGAAATTATTTTTAAAATTATAAATTTTCTTAGTTAGAATTACCATTATTTTATATTCAGGCGTAAGAAATTCTTGATCAAGTTTCCACTAAAGGATACTAAATATTATTAATTAAATTAATCGACCAAAAATTCAAAGGATTACAGCAATTCTGATATAAATAAAATTAAGAGAAAATTTGTTTATCCATATGTAGAACAATTAAAATCTTGTGGAAACGAACTCGTATTTAGAGATTTATAACGAGATATATTAATATGTTCTGTATCCGATAATTTGATAATTTTGATAAACATGTGGTACGAATGTACGATAACGTTGCACTTTATGGTTTTTATTTTGGCGATTAATAATAAATACTGTACTATATGATCACCGAAACCCAATCAATATATCAAATTCCCTACTGTAATATGACACTCAAAAGATCAATATTTTATAAATTTATTTCAGTTTTGCTTTATACATACAATAAATTGTCTTAAATTTTTTACAATTTTTTTACTATAATGACCTAATATACGCATAAATGAACACAATAAATATTCGACATTATTATGTCTTTAATAATTATCTAAACGGCCAATACTTTTTATGCACAATCCATATGGTCTAATATCATCATCATCTGGTACTAGCCAAGTATTATGATACTTACTTAATCTTACAGGGTTAATTCTATTCTGAAAAACAACCTTCCATCTAGCATTCTGGCGCTCAAATTGTGTAGCATATCCTTCAGCAATACTGATTTCAGGGGTTGAATATATTCCCGTCCCATGTGTAAAGCGTAATCCTCTTTCATTTCGAAAACCCTCTCTCGCAATTTGATTTGCATTGTCTACTTCAGTTCCATGATAAGAAACTGGCCACTCACGAGAACTAGTACCAACACTACCCAACCATATTGCATCAGATCCATACCTTCCGGCAACATTAAGAGCATATCTTTTCCATCCATAAGGTCGTTTGTATAATTCCATTCCACGAAGGAAAGTTTCTCCATTATCACGTGTATCTCTAAAGTCATAATCATATGACGGATTTAATAACTCAGGTCTGATAACATGAAAATCATAGCCTCCAACGACTTTAGACAAGACTTGTATTGTACAACCTTTCTGGATATTGTAAGATGTTAGAGTTTTTTCGTCATTCAGTTGTTTACCATTAAATATAAGACGCATCATTTTAATATCTGTTCCAAACTTTTCATAAATGACGTTTTTAAACTCAAGAACGGTGATACTTGGATCAACAAACATTGATTGACTCTTCCCGGTGTCGAGAGGTTTGACGAAAACTTGAATTAGTTTGTTACTATCAAAAAAAGTTACATCTTTAGGAGGATCAAGATCTTTGATTTTAATTCGTATTAAAGATTTTTTAAAAATGGTATCAAGATCTAAAATTTGAACGGGATCAATTTTTAAACCATCAGCTTTGCATTCATCATATGTTTTTACGGGACATTTAATTATAGACGAAATCGCTGAGGCAACAAGTGATAATTGAGACATTTTAATTTTTTCTAGTTAATTTACTAAATTTGGTTTATGAAATTATTTTATGAAAAAAAAAAAAAAAATTTTTTTAACGTTATTTATATCTATTAAACAATTAATTACTAACTGTTTTTGTTACACCATATTTTTTGATGCGATGATCTGCGTCAACAAAATACATCATTACATACATATAATGATATAAAAAGAATAAAAGGAAACAATAATAAAAATTTAATATTGTGCTCAGCAGTATCAATACTCAATAAAATCACTTGATCCAAACCTAAAGAGGAAAATCTATTCAAAAATTACAAAATTTAGTATCATCTTTACCCGAAACCTATAATTTTAGACAATATTCATTTTTTTTTGATATTGTTATAACAACATCATAATTTTTGATAATATTTTGATATTATTACAATTTCCAATCGTTATTTATCATATTTATTTTTTTCAAAAATATAATGTATATAATTTATATTATTCGAAGAGTAAAATGTTAAGAACATGACAACTAATTATCGCAAAAAAAAAAATATATCACGTTCATTTACGCATTATAAACGCAATCACATGAAAACTGAATCTCTTCAATAATTTTATGTATTTTTGATTTTAAGAACGAACCATCTGCAGAGTTTTCACAAAGTTTCATTTTCAAAACTTACAAGATTCAAAATAATATTGTTTCAAAATTAAACACAACACAAACATTACATATTGTATATCTGATATTAAATATAATGTACTATTAATTAAGAACAAATAATATTTCTAAGAGCAATTTATTTTAACCAAAAACCAAGGACAATCAAATTAAAAAAGAGTAATTTTTTACATTTTAGGGATTGATGTTACAAAGATTTAGCCATACTATGTAACATCTATTGTCTTACAAAATCAAACTCAAATAACACCTTAGTATAAATGGACGATCAATACATGTGAAAATCTAGCCTAATCTGAAAGTCCGAAATCCGAAGCGAAACTCTGGAGAACATGGCCGAAATTATATGGTAATTCTTACCAAATTTGTAGTTCCTGTCAGAATTATAAATCACGGGATAATGCGGGTTAAAATGTATAGTGCTGGCCAAACAATTTCGGCCCGAATTTCGACTTCCGGCATTCAGTTTCAAATTATCCCGAAATTACTTAGTTTCGGCCACATGTATAAGATGAACATTAAAAATCGCGTAACTATATGATATATTAATATAGATTCAGATTCCAGAATTGCCAATTGTTTAGTAGTAGACTAGTAGGATAATTATTACTTAATACAAGTCATGCAATACCGAACAATCCCTATAAAAAATTTTTATCCGAATATTTCCAGTATTTCTCCGTGTCTTCCGCAAAAATTCCGTGAAAATGATACATTCACGGATATCCGTGTTAGCGAGATGAAAATTTCCATAATTTAAGGCTATAAATTCCATTAAAATGATACATTCACGGAAAAAATATGGAAAGATAAAACACGGATCAGATTTTTTACAGGGAATGTAGATACAGTATATAATTAATTTCATAATATAATGTAAACTTGGTATATCGAAGTTGCTATTTAGGGCCAAAATTTCGACATCTTAAATATGAAATAAATGAATTTACTTTTGAACAGAAAAAGACATACAGGCATTAAATACTATAAAAGTAAAACGTAAATTCCATGAAATCCTTGAATTTCAAATTGGTCCATCATTCACTAAAAACACTATGGCCATATTCTTCTGTGAATAGTATAATTAGCCAATCATTTCCTATTGATCAGATGATGGATGGGAATGTGAAGTCATTATATTTTTATGTGGCGATTGTTGCTATATTAGATCTTCTTGATTTCCCACTCTATTGAGATACAGGGATGATACTCTGTAATATAATAAGCTAATCGAGAAGCTTTTTCGATTACGTTGAAAGTATAAGCTCCATTCTATATAATACCACCACTATCCGAAAATTCATTATTAAAGTGGATGACAAATTACTTCGCATGTAAATAGCCGCTGACCTGCTTGGATCCCATTAAAATCGAGAAAGAACATACAACATTATTTATTTAAAAACCGTAATCCTAAAGGATTCTTGCAGAAAAAAGAACCATTTCTTTTTTATTTTACGAACGATTAATGATAAATGGACGATAATAAAGGATCAACTTTTTGTAAAAAATATATATATAATTTTTAGTTTAATATCGTCATTTATGTATTTTAAAAAAAAAATCAAATCGTCATGAATAACGAATTTTGAAAATTTCTCCAGAAATTTCCAGCATTTAAAACCGATTTATTCATGCGTGTTTTCTTTTATAAGATTAGTACAGATATTATGTTGAGTTTGAAAAAATGGGAATCTTATATTCATTAATCTTTATCAGTTTATTACATAATGCCAGTTAGGAATATCCTATTGCAGGTTTGTAAATAAATTCCCTTATTAATTAATATTGTAAATAATTATTAATTATATAACTATAATTATAAATACATAAATCATGATATTTTTGAACTATAATATTATATAATTTAAATTCATTTACTTCTTTTTTTGGAAAAAACAATTCATCTTCCTCTAAAATAGCCAAATATTTAACCCTTTCCTTCTTCATAATATATTTTTTTATATAAAATAAAATATTAAAATCTCCATCTCCATCTCCATACATCACTATATTTCTAATTAATAATTTCTTAATAAAAGTATTTTGTGAATTTTTTAAAAATATTTCCAGATCACTTGTATTAAATAAAAGAACTAAACATAAATATTCTAATTTAGGAGGAAGAATCTGTCCTAAATTTTTTAATACAGTTTAACTTAATTCATTATAAACAGTATCATATTCATAAAATTTCACTGCAATAGTAAGATAATTAATGTTATGTTGATTATTTTTAATAATTAAGTAAATATTATTATCATCTAATACATTCGTATAAAAATATCTAACCTTTTTATAATAAATTCATATAATCGTCGTTTTGATCTTGGTTCATAATAATCTTCTATTATATCAAAAAATTCCAATACAAAATTTCTAAATAATAACCACATTTTGTAATAGACTAATAGTAGTAGTAATGATTCTATATGTAATATTTCATGTATAATCAGAGATTTCAATTTAAAAGGTTTAATAACCTTAATAATTTGTTGAACAAAATCAGAATTTAAATAATTACAATTAATAAGATGAATAGATTCTAAAACATTTAAATGATCAAAAACCTCGTAAAATATTAATTATATTTTTAAAATTAATGAAATAAAATACAATTGTATTTAAAGTATTTGAACAATTAGAATTTTTTAATGATAAAAATGGATTACTGGATTATATAAATTTAAATTATAAAAAATTCCAAATGAAATTTTTTTGAGATTATGTTGTGAAACAATCATTTGTGTTAAACATTCTTCAACTAATGAATAATTATTGATATTAAAATTAACTTCAGGAAATTTAAAAATAATTGATGAGATTGAATTACAATTAGAATATAAAAATTTCAAAAGTGGAATAAAATCTTGAAATGGAATGGCATAACCATTTAAATTTAAATTTCTGATATTGCATATAAGATTTGGATTTTGTAAAATCAAATCCATATTATCATAATTTTTATTCACTTCAAAAGAATATATATTTCCTTCAGTTCTTCAAATAATGACCTATAAATTAAGCTTTTTAGTTTATCATTATATTTATCTACTAAAGTATCACCCCAATATTTAATAGAACAAAATATTTTATCTGTATACAAGTATTTAATAAAACTAGGATAATTGAATAATCTATTATTCGAAGGTAACAATTTATCATTAATTCCATATTCATCAAATTTTGCTTTACTATCCTCATTTAAAAAGCATAAATAGTATCAATAAAACTATAATTTTTAGGGAATTTAATTGAAAATGGATCTTCCCATAATAATGGAATTGTTAACGACACCATAATCTATTAACAAGTATACACGAATGTAATGTTTTATAATCATAATGAAAATATTGTATGATTTTATTTATTAACTCTGGTAAATCTCCTAAAAATATTTTCGAGCATGCCATGTTGGTAAATTGGTAAAAGAAAAGGAGTTTTGCTTTCATTTCAAAATGAAAATAAATTTATCAATTTCGTAATTGTACAACTTTAGTAACAATAGGACCAAAAATAATATGTTACATCCGGCGGTCCGCAGAATGCAGATTGGCGGATATCTTTTATTTGTTATAAGCGTACAAGAAATCTTTACATCATAAAGTAAATTCTTATTATAGGAACGTACTGTATATAATTGTTTGTGATTGTTGCTAAGTTTTATGTAATTATTTTCTCAAAGCAAATTAAAAATTATAATAATCTCATGAGGACTTTACGTCGGCACAGTCAAGTCGGGTGATTCTCTACATAAAAATTATAAAACATTTTCATTCGTGGATACAATTGGTGTTGTACAACAATTTCTTTATTATGAGAAGATCCACCTATTGAAAAAATGATAATACTAATAATAAAACGATATATAATTCATAACAAGACCTCCGAACTGTACAGAAAAAAAATTATAAAAGCCTTTCCTTTTTTAGATAATTCCTGGTGGAATCTATTACCTTTCTGGACACTGACCGAAATTATCATCATTCCGCCCTAAAAAAACGCGTAAGCTACTATTTTGCTGTTTTATACTTTTTAATCTTTTCATGTATATTTCGGGTCCTTTCGTAATGATTTATTTCCTTTAAATAAATTATTTAATCATCCTAATTTTATTCAATGTTTAGATATTAGTTATTCTATTAAAAACTGAGTAGCAGAATCTCAACGACTAAATGGTTATTCTATAAAAATTAAAAATTCAACATTTTCGTTAATGTCAAACTTTGTATAACCTTGTAAAAAAGCGATCATCAAAATTATTCATTGAAAAATTCAAAGGCTAAATTTCATTTTGTTATCAAAAATTTAAAACTTCGGTAAATTAGTAATTTTTAGGTTCAATTTCATCACTTTGTTTTCTATTTTCAATATATAATTTATATTGCAATAATTATCCAAAACTTTTTCGTAAATAAATAATTAACTCAAAAAAAATATTAAACGGCGACTTTACTAAGGACATGAACAAGAATCTTGACATTAACAATAATTTTATTTATTCCACTCAATCGGGTCATTCTCATAATTATATATATTTATAGCATGTAGTAATAATGTAATATTTTTCGTTAATTTGGAATAGGTCATCTGACGAAAGGACGATCATCATGTGATGTATTACAATAACGTAGTTGTCATGTGTAAATTTATGCAGCATAATATATTGGTAATAATTTGTGCGACGAACGGGCTAAATTTATATAAATTTACCATATTTTTACTCACTATAACTTCGAGAATCCCTTTCCCTTTCCCTTTCTCTTTTTTCTCTTATTTCTCTTTTCATTTGATATGGCATGTTCAAAGTTATTGTCAGGAGATTTACCAGAGTTAATAAATGAAATCATACAATATTTTCATTATGATTATAAAACATTACATTCATGTATATTGGTTAATAGATTATGGTGTCGTTTAACAATTCCTTTATTATGGGAAGACCCATTTTCAATCAAACTTCCTAAAAATTATTATTTTATTAATATTTACTTAAATAATTTAAGTGATGATTATAAAACAAAATTAAATGAATATGGTATTAATGATGATTTATTTTCTTCAAATACTACATTATTTAATTATCCTAGTTTTATTCAAAGTTTAGATACACGTAAACTTAGTAGTTCTATTAGAAATTGGGTTGGAAATTCAACAACTAGAAAACAAATTCCTATCAATTCTATGCAAAATACAAATTTATCACCTTCACAAACATCAGATTTTACAAAATTAATTTATAAATCATTATTTTTGGTACTTATTAAAAGTGAAGTAAATTTGAATAGTTTTAAAGTTACAATGATTACAGATAAAGATTATGAAAAATTTGCTGATATTTTTGAATTAATTTTACAAAAACCAAATTTTATTAATAATATCAAAAATTTATCAATTGATATTGATATAATAACTGATAATATAACTGAATTTTTAATGTTTATTTATTCGAATTGTTATTCAATTTCATCATTTTATTTTTTATATCCATATGAATATAATCATATTATAACTGAAAAAAGTTTATCACAAATTATTGATTCTCAAAGAAATCTTAAAAAGATAATAATTGGTTTTAATAAATATCCTTTATATCATTCATTATTATCATTAAAAAATCCTAATTGTTTAAATACATTAAATACAATTATATTTTATTATATCGATTTTAAAGATATAGTTGTTTTAAATGAAGTATTTAATCAATTGAATGTATTAGAATCAATTCATATTGTTTATTGTTATTCTCTAGATTCTAAATTTATTCAACAAATTATTAATATTACTAAACCATTCAAATTGAAATCATTACTTTTGGAGGATATAGAATCATTAGAACCATTAATACAAAAATTTGGTGTTTATTTAGAAAATTTTGAAGTTACAAATAATAAATCACAACAATTATTACAATCACTTAAATCAATTATAAAATATTGTAATAATATTAAATTTTTAAGTTTGAATTTTGAACCAAATTATCAAATTATTAATTTAACATTCAATTTAATTGAAAATTTTAAACAAAATCTTAATTATCTTTCAATTGATGTTTATTTTAACCTTAATAATATTGATATAATTAGTTCAGTTGTATTACAAAATTTAGGACAAATCCTACCTTTTAAATTAGAATATTTAAATTTAGTACTTGCAATTAATGGAAATGATTTAGAGATATTCTTAAAAAATTCTCAAAATACCTTTATTAAAAAATTTTTAATCAAAAATAAAAATAAACAAAAAAATAAAGGTATTTTTCCTTATATAAAAGAATATATTATTAAAAAGAGAAGAACTAAATATTTAGCTATTTTAGAAACATTTCGTGAAACAAATGAAGATTTATTTACTTTGAAAGATAAAGTGAAGGAATGTGAATTATATGATATTCAAGTTTTAAATTATAATGATTTACGTATCAATACTGAATATTTTTTAAAAGAAATTTTTTGAATTAATTATGTAATACAAACATTATCAAATAAACGTATTTACGAAGTATTAATACTTCAAATTATATTAAAGTTTACTTTTCATATTAATTATATATTATTTTATTCTTAAAACCTAAGTATTCGACACGTCATTATTGAAATTATGGTTTTTGTTTAACAAGTAATTATCTGTTGATAATATTTAAACGTTTGGTTACAGTACGATTTCCTGAATGCCTTTTTTCTGAATATATCTTTTCCCGAAGTCATTTGCCTGAATGCCAATTTTCCGAACTGAACATTTTCCTGAAATATACAATTTCCCGAATCCTTATTTCCCGAATCCAATTTCCTGAAGTCTAATTTCCCGAATCCTAAATCTCAATATCCTGAATCCCAATATCCCGAATTCAAATATCCTTAATTCTAATATTCCGAATCCTAATATTCCGAATGGACAATTTCTTGAATTATATAATAAACTGTATATTTTCGTATGATTTATAAATAAACTATATATAATAAATTTAAAAAACAAAGAACTATTGATAACTATAAGTTTTATTATTCAAATATACAGTATTATAAGCAGATATAATGTTAACAATTGTAAAAATTTTTTAAAGTACTGGTTATAAATGAAATTTATTAGAGATTTATTAATATAATTCAACTTTTTGTAATATTAAACTAACGCTAACTGTATGTTACTAAACATTTATTAATTTCGCATTATGAATAGAAAAATTACTAAATGAACAACTTTATTTATATAAAAACACAATTTACACTAATTTATTACTTTTACATACTATGAATAATTATCTAGTATAGTTAAAATTTCCACACATCAATTTGTTGCAATAGAAAGCATTAAAAATATTCCTTTATTATATCAAGTGTTTTGACTACATCAACTCTGTTAGCTTTAGGTGCATGACTATGTTCTTTAGTACTTATCAATATGTGTTCCTCACCCTCTAAGTCAGTTATGGCTCTTCCACTGCAGCTATACTTTTTTCTGAACTCACAAGACCAATAATATCTTTGGTTTATATTTTTTTTCTTTTGTATACAAATATCCATATACATTGATTTTGGATTACATTATTTATTTTAAGTATTTGTTTTAATACAAGTTAGTTTATTACATATTATATTTATATACATTATATATAATTTATTGATTATTATACTAAATAAAATAAAGGTTGAGTTTATGAAATTAATAATTCTAATTTATGATGTAAAATTATATAAAATAATATTAAATTCAGTAAAATGTCTATTCAGAATATCAGGGTTCATGATATTGGAATTTGGGATAAAATAATTCAGGATAAAAGAATTCGGGAAATTGGATGTTTCATATAATTCCAGAAATTGAGATTCGGGAAATTGGCATTCGGTAAAATAGAGTTTCAGGAAATGATCAATTTCTGGAAATAGGCATTCAGAAAATTGGATTCAGGAAAAGGTATATTCAGGAAAATGGTATTCAGAAAATGGTCCGACAAGGTTAAACGTTTTTCATAAAGTCAATTAATTATATTTAGTTCCAGTTATTAGGGCAAGTATCAGGATTTTTAAGTTTGAAATACAAGCGATTAATGTACTCGGAATTGATGTTGTCACCTTCAATGAATTTTGCTGATAAAAGCTTCCAGGATTTCCAAATAATATCTCCGCTAAATTTTCGCAGAACTCTTACACCAAAGATAATCAAAACAAATTTGAATGTAAAATGTTTCATATTCCTCTAAATATTCAAAAAATTCATATAAACAATTAGCCGTAATCATTCATTTTTATTTAATGAGAAGTCCAATATTTGTGAGGTTGGAGGGATCGGAGTGGTGAAGTGATCGTGTCATGCCGAGTTTTTAAAAAACGCTTTGATGTTTCAATTTTTAATAAATATATACAAGATGTGCAGTTAATCAATTTGGTTCATGTGATATTTTTGATTCATATAAACATTATATTCTCAAAAAGTGAAAGTATTCGTTCCTGTTAAAAAGATTCTAATTTTTAACATGCTAAAAATTCATTATAAATAAATTATATGAAATAGTCAGATATTTATTTATTTTTCTCATGTAAAGAACTGTGAAAATTTGTGTTTCAGAGAACAAATAAGTTTGTGTTCATTTTTTTAATAATCTGAATATAAACTTATTTTGTTTTACTGTGATTTAACTCAAACTTTCCTGTATCATAGATATATGATTGTACTTGGACTTTTAGTCAAAAAGCGAAAAAAATAAGTCACATTGCAACCCAGAAATATGAAATATCTGCATAAATCATATGATTATCCCGTATCATAAATTAAACTTTTACGATGGGTTTTTTTTCAGTCTTCCACTTCCAATTAAGATAGGACCCAGAAATATATATATAGTGAAATTAGACAGAGTATTTTTCCATCCATAGTTAGGTCATCAAAATTGTGTATTTTTTACCGAAATTTTTTATATATAAAAAATTAGTTTGCGTATTTTTGGCCTAAATTTGGCTAATCTATATATTTACTGTACGTTAACCGCATTGTAATATTTAGTATTAATTGAAGAAATTCTAAGGGTTAAAAAGTAAAATTTTAGAAAAATATTATTGAAAAAATGGTAAATTAGAATAAATTCTATTTTCTCACATTTAAAAGTATTTTGTTTTATAAATAATATAGAAGTAATGATAAAATAATTAATAACTTAATGTCTGAAATTTTATTTGCGTATTTTTGCAGGATTTTCAATACCAGGTGTCAATTATGCGTACTACTCATTTAAAAAGTCTCTGCGTACTGCTCATAGTAAAAAAATTTTCGCCACCTAATCCTTATATATATATTTCTGGGTCCTATTATTAAAATTCTGCATAAATCCGATCTAACTTAAACAACTCCAAAAAGACTCGTTTATGAACATGCCTTTATTTCTATCCTAGAACGGTATTCTTTGGAGTAGTCAAGGAAATAGCTTCTCCATGTAGTAAACCTCCACTTTTTGTTTTTTAAAAGAAACTTTTATGATATGGATACCTACGAGATCGATTTTCGTAACGAAAAGATATGATCACAGAACGTTTATATTTTTATCAGAAATTCAAAATCCATTTTCTAATTAAAGGTAAATAGTAATAATTATCTTATCAGTTATGTATACTAATATTAACAATTTATTTAGACAATGTATTAAATGAGTAATTGTAAATTCGACAAAATGATGCCGATCAAAAAGTGATTTACTTCATGGATGAGATAGTGATTTTCAAAAGTAAAATGCATTTGAATAAAATGCTTAATGTCTATATCGAACCAAATTTTTATTTTTATTTTTCAAATTACGTCAGAAACATGTGGCAGGTGCATAGAAAAAAGGAAGTTACGCTAATTCCTTAAAGGCAAATTATGTCCATTTAAATCATAAACATGTGATATGTGATTATCACATGATTTACAAAGAAGTTCATATATAGTGATCATGTCATCATGTGCAAATGTAAGCTTGACATAATTTGTGCGACAAACGGAGTGCTGCTCCGAAATTCACATAATAAACTTAACGTAACTTCTAGTTAATTTCAACATCCCTTTTCTTTCCTTTCTCTTTTCATTTAACATGGCATGTTTAAAATTTTTTTCAGGAGATTTGCCTGAGTTATTAAACGAAGTCATACAATATTTTCATTATGATTATAAAACATTACATTCATGCATATTAGTTAATAGATTATGGTGTCGTTTAGCAATCCCATTATTATGGGAAGATCCATTTTCAATTAAATCCCCTAAAAATTATCGTTTTATTGAAATTTATTTGAGTAATTTCAGTAATGATGATAAAACAAAATTAAATGAATATGTAATTCATAATGACATATTTCCTTCAAATACATTATTTAATTATCCTAAATTTATTCAACATTTAGATACATATAAAGTTTGTAATACTATTGGTAAATGGATTACCAGTATTTCAATAACAAGAGGGCAACATTCCAATTATTCTATGCGAAATATTAATTTATCAGCTTCACAAATATCAAACTTTACAAACCTAATTTTTAAATCATTTTTTCTAATATTCATTAAAAATGAAGTTAATTTGCATAGTTTTGGAATTACAATAGATAGTTATAAAGAAACTGAATGTTTTGATACGACTTTTGAATTAATTTTACAAAATACAAATTTCTTTTTTAATATTAAAAATTTAACACTTGATTTGATTGAAATAACTGATAATATAACAAAATTTTTGGAATTTCTCTGCTCTAATTGTAATTCAATTTCATCATTTCATTTTCTACTTCCAATTATAAATAATAGTCATCCAATAATCGAAAAAATTTTATCACAAATGATTAAACTTCAAGAAAATCTTAAAAAGATTACATTTGGTTATGATTATAGTACCCCTTTATCTCTATTATTATCATTAAAAAATCCTAATTGTTCAAACACATTAAATACAATTATATTTTATTCTATTGATTTTAGAAATATAAATATTCTAAGTGAATTATTTAATCATTTGAATGTTTTAGAATCAATTCATATTGTTTATTGTTATTTCCTAGATTCTAAATTTATTCAACAAATTAATAATGTTACAAAACCATTTAAATTAAAATCTTTAATTTTGAATCACATAGATGAATTGTTAGATCCATTAATACAAAAATCTGGCAATTATTTAGAAAATTTTAGAATTCCAAAATTTGGATTACAACAATTATTACAACCAATCAAATTATATTGTAGCAATATTAAATTTTTATCTATTCAACTACATTATAAGAATATTAATTTAATATTCGATTTAATTAAAAATATTAAGCAAAATCTTGATTATCTTATTATTGATTCCTCTATTATCTTTCAAGTTTTTGGTGATATTAAATTTAATTCAACTGTATTACAAAATTTAGGACAAATTCTTCCTCTTAAATTAGAATATTTAAATCTTATAATTAATGAAAGTGATTTAGAAATATTCTTAAAAAATTCTCAAAATACTTTTATTAAAAAATTGGCAATTAGAAATGCAAAGGATGATGGAAGTCAAGATATTTTACCCTATATAAAAGAATATATAATGAAAAAGAAAAGAGTTAAATATTTAGCTATTTCAGGTATTTTTCATGAAAAAAGTGTTGATTTGTTTTCTTTGAAAGATGAAGTAAAGGAATTTCAATTATATGATATTCAAGTTCTAAATTATAATGATTCGGTTATTGATGTTTATGATTTTATTATAAAATAAACTTATTAGTTATTTATTTAATTTATTTTATTTTATATTATCACTATAAATAAAGTTAGCTTTAAATACTTTTAAATCTTACTGTTAAATTTTTAAATTTTTTATATTTATCTCCAAAATAATTTTGAAATTTTCAATTTATTAAACTTATTAGTTGTTTTATTAAAAAAAAAATATTTGAATTTTAATATTTTATTTTGAACGCTCCCATTTATTTTTTTAATTGTAAAATATAATGATAATTATTACGAATGTAAAGTTTACTGTTCGGAAATCTTTTGAAATCATAGAGTATGTTATATTAATGTTTCGGGCGAAAGCGAAAGCCGAAACTGTTTTATGACTGGCGAAACGTTTCGTCAATTTTTAGTTCCAGTTTCGGCCATTTCGAAACTGCCTAAACTTGGTGAAATTTATTTTATTTATTTTATTTTATGTGAAGACGGACAGACTATTAACAGGACATATACGTAACCGTGCTATCCTACTTCTAGCTATCATCCCCCCGAAGACGGACCCGAACTTCTTTAAATCCAACGAACCAGGATGATCCCCTCCCCTACCAGAAAGGAACCAATGAACTCAATTAAAAAGCGAACTAATTAACCCGTACTTTTCTTTCAACCATCAAGGTCGCCACCTGTAAGTACTGTCATAGGTGGAATGATTCACACTGTTTGTAATTGTTAATATCTATCATAATACGAACCTAAAAATTCAAAAAATGAATTACAAAATATAGAAACTAAACTAATTCAAATACGAAATTGAAAAATTAAATCTATATTAGCGGGTAAGAAGTCTTCTTCTTTAGTGTCCCTACAATCGAAAATACAAAGTTTCTTTGTTAGAGGCATAAAATCGCCATAATTGTTATAATGATTAAGTCTGGCATGACGCTTTTTTAGGCGACGTTCTATTATTTTGGTGTCATTGGAAGTATCACCGAAATCATCTTTTACGTATTGGATATCGTTCGAACGAATAATAGCGCGGTACGGTTTAAAGGGGTAGTGTTCATCCCGGAATTGTTGTCCAAAATTCGTCATCAATTTGTTAAGACGTCTTGATGCGACTGTACGTTTGTCATCACTTTTCTTCGTAGAAATTCCATACGCAAATTTGCGAATACTAGCCATACGGTCATCAAAATTATCATTCATTTGAGTGAAAAATTCCATAGCATTAGTACGCCTAAGATAATGTTTGGCAGAAGTATTGTGGTCCCTGATGTCCTTGATGACATTTAACCTTTCGTTAAGACGATCACGAGCTCTGATCTCACTCATACGATCTTCATCTAAACCTAACATATGTGCGTCTCTCAAGGAAAGTTGAATTGTAGAGTCCTGTAATAAGTGTATGGCATCCATGTACTCTGATGCACCTTTACCACAATGTTCATCAATAAGATTTGCAATATACCAATCCCTATAGGAGTTTTCTGATGTATCATCCTGACCGTTATTGGCTGAAGAGGCATCCTCTTCATCTGAGTCCTGATTGTTGATGACACTGCGTAATGCAGGAGTAATATGAGGAGGAAAAATCCTATCTTTGGGAAGATGTAAAAGAATACAATTCCGATCATATGGAAAACGGAATAACGGAACGGTTGGGGAACGTTTAAACAATCCCATGTTAAATTTTAAATGAGGAATCCGTCTAGAAATCTTATGATGTGGATAGAAAAGGAACTTCCTTTGATTCGCAAGTTTAATCTTATGGCGGAGTTTAAGAGCCCTTCCAGATTTAGGTTTATTAACATTAAAGACACGTTGACAAGATCGGTCAAAACGAGCTTTTTGCCGTGCAGCCGTACGTGGATTAGAACTTAACGTGCGAGAGAAATTTTCATAAATCTTGGTGTACATAGGACCGGTAGCCTTATAAGGGGGTAAAATTGAGTCAAGGTTGTGCGCTTCATAACGCGTTGTATAGGAAATGCCCAATCGATTTGAAAAAATCTTTTACCTCGAGTTATTATTATATTTCTCATAAATGATATTGGCGTGAAAACTTTTATGGTGAATAATATTATTCACAGGTGCAGAAATCTCCTGATTTTCTGAAGGAGTATCGGTTACTTGAACGATAGCCGAATGGTGTTGAGTACAAGCGTGTCGATTAAAATTTCTAACAAAAGGGCACGGTATGCAGCATGGTGTTGTCTTCTGATAGGGAAACTTCTTTGTAGGTAGATGGTTACAAGCTACATAGATACCAAAGTGAAATCTGTATCGTTTGTAAGAGAAGTTGAAAAAAGTTTTGGTGATATTATTGCTACACGTGATTTTGCCTTCACGTGATGCTATCAAATTGATTCTATCCAACAACTTGAGTCGTATCATGTTAAAAAATTTGTTTTGAATACGCCGAGGAATAACTCGTTGATGTAAAAAAAAGTGCGTGAGGCATTTCGATATTTGAAATCGATGATTAGGTAATTTGCTTGTGGAATAATACCGAATTGGGGTAGATGACATATGATGATCATTTGTGTATATTTTCAGGTGAATTTCATTGGTGTCTGGTATTTGATCGACAACCTCAAAAAAGAAACTTTTTGAACGCCTACATTCGTAGATCTTGTTATAACCTGCTTTGGACGCAGCGGTCACGTGAAATTTTTCAAAAGAGACCAAAAAAGAAAAGGTCGAAAGTATTGGTGAAGGTAAAGGAGCTTTGACTATGATAGTCGGAAGTGTGTTATCCTGTGGTTTAATAGTCGTCTCTGAAACATTATCTTTAGCAAGTCCGCCTTCAGGAATATTTCGTCTGCTATCGGAGTGTCCGTCCAACTGCGGATAAGGTTTCGAAGGTTCGTATGAAGCCAAGGAAGAGTTGGGTTGCTTGTATTGTGAAGATGACATAGTCCCTTAGTATGGGATAAAATGAGAACTAAAAACCTTGTATGAGACCAAGGCGCCCGCTTGGGCCTCGTCCCCTTTAGCGTTTCAAATAGAAACTAAAAAATTAAAACTATCGCAATATTACTGCGGAAAACTAACAGAAAATAAAAAGGGGGAAAGAGTTTTTTTTTTTATCCTAAACTTGGCGAAATTTCTGAAACTTGGCGAAACTACCGAAACGTGGAAATTGTCACGTGCATTATTTTTATTGGTGGTTAAATTTATGCATTTGCTCATGATTTTCTCACGAAAGATCTTTCGTATTTATACACATGTTTAATTGCAAATAAACCCCTATTTTCCCCCTTTCATTTAAACAACAAAATCAAATTTTACTTTTTTAAGTCTTTGTATGGGGAGTTCATGCTATTCAAGGTGCAAAAGTATCAGAAAGCCATTACGAAACAACTTGCGCATACTGTAATTACTTTTGGAAAAAAGGCTCACCACAAGATTTGGAAGCACACTTTGCTAATGAGTATCAGCTAATACAAGACAATTTTTTTAAAATCGTCTTGCTGCAAAAGCCAAACTAATTTTGAACAAGTAGCAGCTAAAAAACGAAACTTAATGATAGTACTGGGTATCCAGACAAAAATATCTGATTTCCATGAAATGTCACGTTTATTGAGGCAAGGATTCATGAAATTGATCGGGCTTGTGTAAAGGCTTTGTAGTATGTGGTATTGCATGGCATGTAATTGAAAATCCGTTTTTCATCAAGTTTTTGAAGACTTTACGCCCAGGACACACTCTTCCATCAAAGAAGTACTTTCCAGTAAATTCTTATCACAGTTTTAAACACACGAGTTATCAAGATATTAAAAAATACAACTAATCTAACATTATGTGAGATTTATTATTTATTATAACATTATTCAATTAATATTTAATAAAACTAAATTTATTTTTTATTCTTAATTTATAGGCTTGTGATGGATGGACGAACTCAGCAAATGAATCAATTTGGAATTTTTTGATTCATACGCCTGATCATGAGGAATATCTGTGGTGTTTAAAGGGCCTACCAAGCGAAAGTCATTCTAGTCATTCTGGTGAATTTTTAGCCAAAACAATTGATGAAATAATATCCAAATTGGACCTGCAAATTTTTCGGCAATTGTATCGGATTCAGGTTCAAAATGCACGACAAATGGTTGTAGATAAATATAAGAAGATTCTTTAATGTGCGTTGTATAGCACATGCTAGTAATCTGATTTCAAAAGATATTTGCTCTACTTCATTTGCAAATCAGATCTTAACAAAATGTAATACTATAGTAACATATTTTAAAAAAAGCCATCAAGGAGGTAATTTAAATCTATTTTCGTTTATTTTGTTAATATTATTCTCAATTAAATACAAAAAAAAGGATCTTCATTAAAAGACGAGGCCAAGGCTTGTGATATTAGTGGTGGAGGACTAAAAAAATGGGTAGATACAAGATGTATGATTGTGCAGATGCGTCATAAAATACCCTTAGAAAATGTAAGATTATGAAATTTATTTGATTAGAACTTTTCATTTATTAACTATATTCACTTTTTAGATTTTTATCTAGTTAAAATCTGAAAACCCCGGAATTCTTTCAACAGCAGTATTATCAGTGTTACATTTTTTGATGACGTGCGTGTATTGGTATTTACATTACGCCCCATTAAACAATCAATTGCAGCATTAGAGTCACAATCTTGTACTCTTGCCGATTGTTTCCTTGGACTTGCAAAAGCAATTGAAATAATTGCCAATCAATGATATCGTACTTTTAATCGCCGCTCTGATGAACTTGTTTATCTATATTTATTATGCCTTTTTTTTAAAACCATCTTATACCGGTAGGTTTGAATATTATTATATTGTATTCATAGTTTCGTATAATAGTTTTTTATAATATCTATAAATTTTTTTATATTAAAATAAAATAGGTATTTACAAAGCATGAGGAAATTTGTTATTAATATGATAGCAGATGAAATTTTTATAAAGATGGGGAAAATAGCGAACGTAAAAAATTAATGCATCAGATGAAAAAATATCGTAAAAGAGAAAATCTTGAAGTAGGTGAAGCTGAAACTCCAGATGAATGGTGGTCTTCCATTGATTCATTGAGGATAGCTTTCCTGAGGACAAGGATTACCACTTAACTGTCACGCCTTATGCAGTTGGATGTTTTTGGTCAAGTCTTGGTTGATATATGGTAAGAGGAGGACTAAAAAAGAATTACCACATTACAGTGTGGAAAAATCTGCTGAAGAAATTCATCAAATTTTTATTGATACTCATTTGAATCCCGACCAAGACCTTTTTGAATTAAATGACGATTTGCCTAACAATGTATTATGTTAATGAGGAGGAAATAGTAATGGTTGGTAAAGTTTTGAATTTAAACGCATTTATTGATACTTTAGAATATATAGTATAGATATTATAGAGAGTGAAAATGAAGAAGTGGATGAACCTATGAATGAAAATGAAGATAATAATATTGAATGGGACCCAGCTGCTGAAGCTGTTGAAATAGTTGATACAATGTAAATTGTAAAAGTTGCGATTCATTAATAAATTTATGTTTGTACTATTATAAAATATAATAATGTATCACAAAAGTTCAAAAAATAATATAAAAAAATGTTTTGCAAGTTTCACTCAGTTTCGGAAATTGCGCCCGGTTTCGTCAGTTTTATCAGTTTCGGATTTTGCTCTTGGTGGCGAAACTAGTTTCGTTTGGCTGCAGAAGTTTCGCCGGGGTCTAGTTTCGGTTTTGCCCGAAACACTAAAATGGATCAAGCTCTAATGCTTCTCAATCGAATTCAACTAAATTGAAATTAAGATAAATCAATCGTGACATAAATACTAACTCAATAACAACATTAATTAGATCACACCTATTCGTACCTGTACATTATTGATTGTACCGTACCTATCACACCGTAATGATTTACTATATACTCATAAATTATACATAAAAATTATCATTATTACGCTATTACGCAAAATAAAAAAAAGGATGATATATGCAGTAAATAATATGATAATTTCAAAAAAAGAAATAATTTAATTATTAAAATTGAAGAATTCCTTTTTAATATTTTTGAATCGAATAATAAAGACTATGAAATTATATTTTTATTTAACATTTAAAATGATTTGACAATATTTTATTTAAGTAATCATTCTCCTTATTTACAAAAAATTTCTAGTTCGCATAATTCGTCCCGGAAATTCTTACTGGTAAAAGAAAAAAAAGTAACGTTAAAAACGTTACTAAAAAAAATAAATAGGAACTCCCTTCCTTCACCCAATTGCTCAAAGTCCGGTTCGTATAGTTCACATAAAAATATTTTTTGCTCACATAAAATATATGTCTAAGTAATATTCATTCTCCTTATTTATAAAAAATTTTGCCAACTTCAATAATTTTAAGGTAAAATGAATTGAAAGTTTAAGTTATAAGCTACCTTTATAAATATACTTTCAATGATATACCAAAATTTGCCATTTTTTAGATGAATTGCTATTTATCATGATGAAAATATAATAAAAGCAAATTCAGAACAGAATTATCCTTATAAAAAATTTTGTCCGTTATTTTTGTAAAAACTCCGTAAAAATGAGCTTTTTACAGATCCATTCACGTAAAATGTAAATAATTCAATAAATTCCGTGATATAAGGTTATTAATTCTGGAAATATGATCCTATAGATTGACTTTTTTTACAGGGTATAGAGGATATGGCGAAAGTCCATAAAAGATAGATATATTTTAATTCAAACTGCAAATGTATATCATATTAAGATATATCATTCAGATTACTTAATAGTGTATACCTTCTTATTGTGAAGTATTTCAAGTTATTGAAAATAAACTAGCTAAAACAGGACCCCGAAATATATATGTAGAGGTCAGGTCCAGAAGTGGTCCAAAATACGCATTCTTTCAGGGCCGGAATTACGATAATTTCAGCCATTATCTAAATTAGGAAATATTATTTTGGCTGGGATTATCCATAAAAGGAATGATCTACATGATTTTTTTGACTCATTATACGCAAACTCTGACCTGACCCTTTTATGTATATTTCGGGGTCCTGCTAAAACTAAAACAGTAAATACAATAAATGTAAAATTAACTTTAACATTTGGTTTCAGTTAAGTAAACATCACTAATTATTACAACTTGGCATAAATAAATTTGTAAGAATCATCTGACTGAATCGGATCAAAAAATTCAATGAGTAAATAATGTTTATATCAATCATATGACGCAACGCAAATCATGCATAGCGTAAAGTTTAAATCAATCACGTTAATCAAAAACGCCATAATAAATAGTATAATTTTTCATAGTATAAATAGGATACATCCTAAATATTTTTTTCTTTTTTCAGTTATTTTTGGCAAAACTGCCCATCCAAATGGTGATATGTCTCTTATTACAAATATCGACTATTAACTGGAGATTTCAGAATATCCTTTACAGAAGAATCTCATTGACTAGAAGAAATACTAAACACTCTTGTAAATAAAAATGATGAGAAGGAGGAGCAAATAAATGTAAGACTATTATTTAAGGGCATTAAGACATATAAAATTTTTTATTTAATGTACATGCACAAATTTTATGGTTTCAGCTGGAGCTCTTCAGTTACAATATAAAAGTTCTTTGAGTTGCACCTATCGTAAGGTCTGTTGATTCTGGAGGAGGAATTGGCTATGTTCCTTCCTTACAATAGTCAAAGAGTTTGTAGTGTCTAACAAAGACGCTTTGTAGCATGTCAATAAGGATTGGAATCGAATCGAATCTTTTCAGGATTTTCTTCATAGATGGTCAATGGTCAACCTGTGGAAAAAGTAAGAGACATCACACTAAACGAAGCAAGTGAAACACAAAACATCATTAAACATGATAACAATGAAAACAATCCTCGAAAAATATTATTTTCTCCAGGACTATCTCGTAACGCTGCGAAGAAGAGAAAACCTCTTCACAAGTATTTGAAGAAACCTGAATAGTTCATATAATATTATATAACTTTAGTAGTTACTTGTTGGTTCTAAAATTAATTCTAAAACTGCAAGTATGAATGACAAAGAAGAGTTGCAGACTTGTAAAAATTATTTGATTTGTGATACCTGCTTCAGCTTTCAGTTCAATAGTGCTATTTATTTTTAAACAAACAATCAATATATTTATTTTATCACTCTAAATAAATAAAGATGCAAATTGATTTTATGTGGTTAAGTTCGTTCGGATGCGTTATATAGTGTTTTATTATAAAAGTTCGTTATATCCGGTGAAATTATTTATAAAAAATCGGTTCTGGAAATTCCGGTTCAGTATAGCGAGATTTCGGTTCTTTATAACCAGTGGCGACTGTAACTTTCTAGGGCCTTGTAATTATATTAAATCAATCATTACTAGTATAGTTCCTTAAAATACTAATATTAAACAATTGGGAAGAAGTATTAAGTTTTTTAACAGTAAATCTTCCATCCTTTTTATTGACCCATTTATTAGAGAGGGAAGTACAAAAAATATTGCGTTCTAGCACATAAAATACCGAATGTGATGAAATTCTTTCATATTTTCACCCCAGCGTAGATAATAACTAAAAGTAATTTTTCAAAAAAGTCAAGTACTACTACTTGACAGTATTCATGAGACAATTGAGACATATTTTTATAATAAAAAGTTTTCGAGAAAATGTTGGAAGTATCTATATAATAATTTGGATTTTTGTACGACCGTGATTAAATTTAAATTATCATGCATAATTTGTTGTGAGCATATCAAACTATTCACGAAAAATATAAAATTTGAGAAATAACGGCAAGAAAAAAATATACACGAACTTGAAAGTTGTTGGGCTTTGGTTTTTTAGTAAGATACGTCATTGAATAATTTATTGAGCTCATTTTCTCCATAGATTTCTGATAGTTGGTCTCCTAAAACATCCTTTTGATTGCTAGGCTTTTACTCCCTACGAAGAGTTATAATTTGATGTGTGGAGTCCAGTTGATTAAATGAAAGGATAATTGTTAAATGATACACACTAATTTTAAATAGTGCTTATTAAACTTAAAATGTTCTTTCGATTATTGAGTTTTTTGCTTTTCCATCACGTGTTTTAACAAATATCAAACACTTCTAGGTACGTCATAATGTTCAAATCATATTATGATGATGACCCTGGATTTTTGGGCTATTCTTTTTTCAATTTTCTCAATCCCATTTTTTTTTTCTTTTGATAAAAAATAAAAACTGAAAATCTCGATGAAATTAATCTTAAAAAATTCTTTATCCTCTTTTTTTCCTTATTATTGATATTTATGATTTTTGCTTATTTTATCTTTTTTTTCTTGGTAAAACGTAGCGCCACGTTTCTTTTTTGAATATTTACTGCGTCATTGTCATATTTTATAAAAGGGATCAATAAATAAAAAAAAATAAAAAAATAAAAAATGAAATTTTATATTTTCTTTATAATAAAAAAGTGAAAACCATATTTATATTTTGATTATTTACTGTTCTACTAAAAAAAAAACAATTAAAAAATAGACCCTAATATTTTATTTATTACAAAAAAGTGAAAAAAAGTTAAAAAAAATTGAAAAATAAGTGCTTTAAAAGCTTTTTTTTTATCCCCGAATGAAAAATTTCAAATGTGAAATCTTGATTATTTTAAGGAGTGAGTCATTACTACCTCCTAATTATATTTTTCAATAAAGTATTTCATCAAAATAAAGTCGTCAATATAAATATGTTAAAAGAGTTACGCATTGCTTCAAAAATATAAAGTTTAATTTAAAAATTTCAACTATATTTCTACATTTGATTAACATTATTTTATTATTTTACGTACAGTAAGTATGTAATATCAGATAGGATAAATTTTTTCTGAATATCATAAAATAAGTGTTTATATAATATAGTAATATAAAAGTAATAGAATAAAAATAATAATATGATTATAAATATACACTAGCAATCAATTCCACAAGTTAAAATAAAATGAGATAAACAAAAGTATAAACGCTAAATTTCATGACCAAATGTTTCTATTTTTGTCTTATTTTCAACTTTCGTCTTAATAAGCTTTAATAAATATTTTCGCTTTAAATAATGATGCAGTCGATAAATCTTTCACGCCAACATAGGCGGACCGAATAAATTTCGTTCAAGAAACTTTCTGTTTGACTTTTTTGATCTCCCTATTGTATCAAAAAATTAAAGCGGAAAAATGGTTAACAAAACAAGTTTTTACGGATAAAAAAAAACCTTTATCAGAATGTTAAAATGTTTACGTTGAATTTTTAGTCACATGATCGGATTTTTGTAAAAATCATATCCCATAAAAATAGAAATTATTTTTGCTGATCATGCAAAAATCTTTATAAATTTCAGTAGTAACCTATCGTTTCAATGAGTTATTCTTTTTTAAACTTTGTTTTAATTTTATTGCTAAAAAATATGTCTTTTGAATATTTTCAAGAACTTTCTAATGATTTGGAAAAATTACTTACAACTGAAAAGG